TAATCCTTGTTTCCTGCCTGACTTACTTAAGAGCCCATCAGTTTAGCCTGACTTTGACATGACATTATAAATGATCAAATTAATTTTTAGCCTAGTGAAGAACTTGCAGCAAGATGGAAACGTTGCTTGTGCAACAAAGTGCTCCAAATGCCTCTCCCAAACTGTGCCACTGGTAACTACAGAGCTTGGAATTCCTAGATCTGTAAAGTAAGAATGATGGGATTTAGCTGTGTAAATGTTGTGATCATGAATTGATGCCTAAATTGTTTCACTATCCCAAGTTATTCTAAGCCCCTTCAAGCCTGGTCTTGAATACTTCCAGAGATGGGGTAGCCACAGCTTCTCTGGGCAGCCTGTGCCAGGGCCTCCTCACCCTCCTAGGGAAGAATTTCTTTCCAGCATCCCATCTATCCCTGCCCTCTGGCAGTGGAAGCCATTCCCCCTCATCCTGACCTTGTCCCAGATCCCTCTCCAGCTCTCTGGGATCTCCTTTAGGCACTGGAAGGGGATCCAAGGTCTCCCCAGAGCCTTTTCCTCTCCAGATGAACAACTCCAGCTCTCCCAGCCTGGCTCCAGAGCAGAGGGGCTGCAGCCCTCAGAGCATTTCTGTGGCTTCCTTGGGACTCACTCCAGCAGCTCCACATCCTTCTTGTTTTGGGGTCCCAGAGTGGAGGCAGCTCTGCAGGTGGGGTCTCACCTGAGCAGGGCAGAGGGGCAGAATCCCCTTTTAATGAAACAGCCGGGTTTGTACAATGGAATTACAAGAAAGGATAGGGAAATGACTGGGGAATATTCAGTGCACAGCCATTCTTAGGAGCCCTGAGTTCATCCAATGCTGGAGGCTTTGTGTTTTGAACACTTTGTTAGGGTCAGGAGCAACCCTTGGCTCTGTATCCTGCAGGAACAAAATGCTTGCTGAAGTTCCTTGAATATTCCAAGGATTTCATTCTATGTTTGCTTGAATATTCCAAGGATTGGCCCTGGTGAAGTATCTGGTAGGTCTGGGGAATAGCCTCATCCTCAGAAAGTGGGATCTGGGATTTGGAACCAGCCTTTGCAGGCTGTGGAGCTGCTCAGTACCTCAGCCAATCCTCTGGGGAGCTTCCTGTCAGTGCCTGTGGGTGATGGCAGCAGCAGCCCCTGCAGACACAACACCTGGGGGGCTGTGAAGTCCTGGGGGGTCTCCCTGGGACCAGACTTGCCTGTGCACACTTGGCAGGTGCTTTCCTGGTGGAGATTGCTTCAGCCTTGCAGCCCTGAGTGCTGGGAAGCAAAGCAGTGTGGTGGGGAGCCAGCAAACTGCCTCAGCACCTGCAGTGCTGCAAGCGGGAGGTTTTTGTGTTTTGAACACTTTGTTAGGGTCAGGAGCAGCCCTAGGCTCTGCACCCTGCAGGAACAAAAGTTCCCCCTGCCAGAGGCTTCCCTTTGAGCCTTCTGCAGTGGCAGATTGATCCTGCACCCTCTGTAGGGTCCCTGAAGAGAGCAGGGCTTGCTGAGATCCTGCTCTCACATCCATGTGGGCACGTTTCCATCAGTTCATTTGCTTTGCTGCAATGGGCAGAAGCAGGGCCAGGTCTTCTCAGAAGCCTTGAGTTTACAATCTGATCATCCACACCCAGCATCTCTGGGGCTGTGCACACACACCCCTCTCCAGTGCTGTGGGCAGCCAAAAATTTGGGAGATCCTCTGTGAAAACAGCCAAGAAGGGCGGGGTGCTCATTTTAAATTGAGGGTGACTTGAAAATTATTTTTCTGCATAGTGGAAAGTAGAGTCATAAACTCCTTGTAGTATTAATCATAGATGTGTTTTGAGGGAAGATTGTTATCTTTTGGTCTGTGCTGTGTTAGCAGCTGAAAATCCCAGGCCTGGCTCTGCTAGGAGCTGTCCTGACACAGGAGAGAAGGCAGCTCTTGTTCTGGAGAAATAATAACACATAAAAGGAAATATGAGGTGGTTATGGCCGATGGGGAGCTGAAGTTCTGTTGAACAAACCAAAGGCTACCCCTCAAAAAGGGGTGAGAAAGCAGAGAGAAGTTGGCCACACTTCTGTCCTGTAATGGATAGCTGGATGTGTCACTGCTCCAGCTGCTCTCCTGCACTCCAGATCCTCAGGGAGAATTGCCCACGCCCAGAACTTCACTGTGTGGATGGGAGTGGATGGGACCATGGTGTGAGGGCTGTGCTGGGATGAAAAGAGCATCCTCCATTTGCATCCCTGAGCAGTGTGTGTGTGTGCACAGACAGCGCTCAGCCTCCACCGAGCCATCCCCAGGGTGTCTGGGCAGGCAGGGTGATAATGTAAAAGGAATGCAGGGAGGGTAAGGAGACAAAATCAGCATCCTGGGTAAAATCCTGCCCTGGTCCCCAGTGGCACTTGGCTCCTGTGTGCTCCATCTCTCCTCCCACCCTCCCTGGGAAGGGCAGGCTCTGCCCGTACTTGTCATGCCAGTCACACACATGCTGGTGCACAGACTAACACCCTCCACAATAAATCTAAAAGATTAATTACTAGGGGGAAAAAAAAAATCCCACAACCCCACTTGCAGCATTTGAAATGCATCTCAGCCAGTGCTGTGCTCTGGTTATTCATGGGGAAAAGAAATCACCTCCTGAATCGAGCAATTGAGAATGCAAATATCCCAGGCTGGCTCAAAAGAGGAATCAAGCTCCGTACTGTCAAGCTGATTAGCATCCTGTTCCGTGGGGTACTGCCCTGAGCCCAGAGGGAAAATTTGGGGACAACTGTGCTTAATGCTTAGGGATGAGGTTTCTGAGTTTTGCCCAGAGAGAAATTACAGCCTTGCTACGCCCCATCTGATGACAGACCATAGAGATGTTTTCGTGTTCTCTTCACAGCGACTGCCCTTTCTCTGGTGAGATCTTTCAGCCTTTTGTTTCCTGTCACTGACCAGCTGTTTTTTGTGAGTTGAGTTTTTTTGTTGTTGTAAAACCAAAGCTTTCCACAGGCCATGGAACAAAGATTTTCTTTTTTCTCTTGTGAGCAGGGAGGGAAAGTACATTGGAGCAGTTTCTCATGGGACTGGGACTTCTGCTTGCAAGAAGGATTTTACACTTTGTTTTGCCTTTTTTCCCCTTCCCCTGAAAGCAGTATAGATGCCTCTTCCAGAAAGACTAGGAATTATATCCTGATCCCTTTCAGTCCATATCCCAGCAGTAGGGTGGGAAATGCAGCATTTGGGAGTTGGAAATACTCAGCAAGAAAGAAGCAAAATGAATCCCAGTCTGCTCCTTGTTGTTATGTCCAAATGAACATAAATCCTCTGCAGCATTCCTCGTGGCCCATTGCAGATGTCAGAGGGGAAAACAAAACAAGAATTTCCCTATGAAGTGTTGTTCATCCTTTCTTAGCCCTGTGCAGGAGTGTGAGTGTGGCTGGAAATTGCAGTGGCAGTGACAAGCAGCTTGTGCATGGTCTTTTTGCCTCAAAAAGCTGCTGTGCATCTTTGATTTTTTTCAGCCAGACTTCTCTCTTCTTTCTCCCTTTGCCATCCCCTCCGTTTTTTCAAGCTTGCCTGTAGCAATGTCCAGGAGATTTCGGGGCTGTTTTGACATGTGCTGGCAGGGTGGGCCTGCTGGTGAGGACAGATCTCTGAATATTTCATGTGAGATGTGTCCCAGGCCTTGGGTTTTTCCTGACCCACCCTGTCAGATCAGGCCTGGGATGGGTTTGCTGCCACTGCCCAAGTTAAGCATCTCCTGTTGGATTAAGGCTGCAGAACCAGGGCTGTCACTGCCATAAAATCTGTGTTTGAAGTGGAATTTCCATTAAGCTCTCCCATTTCTCACAGCCTGCTGCTGTATCTCCAAAGAATAAATTTGTGTTAGGGGTATTCAGAGTTGATATCAGGGAAGGGTTGTTCCTCCAGAGGATGCTGGGCACTGAACAGGCTCCCCAGGCAATGGGCACAGCCCTGAGGCTGCTGGAGCTCCAGGAGTGCTTGGACAACACTCTGAGACACAGGGTGGGAGTTTGGGATGTCTCTGTCAGGGCCAGGAGTTGGAATTTGATCTTTGTGTGGTTCTGCAAATTAGAGGCACACCCTTTCAGAGTGGTGCCTGCTCTGCACATCCTTTACATAGAAATCCAGAGGGTGTTCAGCATTGTCCTGCTCATTCCCTGCTGCAACAAGTCTCTTCTCTTAATATTTATTGGTTTTTTTGGGAGAGCTGTTAATTGGAAGAGGGAGGTGGGATATAGGCATCAAGTTGTGTTTTCATGTAAAAATAAAATTTTGGAAGATGTAAACATATGCAGTGTTCACTGTAGGCCAGTTCAGCTGATTGTGGTGTAACAACAAGTTCTGGAATTTAAAATGAGTGTGGCTGTGGTCCAGGGGTTGCTCGTGCTGGGACTTTTCTCCCAATTTCATCTTCAAGTCAATGCATGGGATGAATGAAAATAGCAGCAACATGTCTTGGTGAAATTTGACATTTCCCAGCATCTTCTGCACATCAGAGATTGGGCAACCATTGCCAGGGACAAATTTCTAAATTAACACAGTGGTAAAGGGGAGGGTGATAATTTCAGGTATGTCCTAGCAGGGTTCATGACACCAGTGGCAGCCATGTGGGAGTTGCTCTTTCCACCCTGGATCTTTTTTTGTTTTACTGGGTTACCTCCTTGATAACACCTTTGGGTTGCTCGTTTGCTTATGGAGTTGTTTCAGTTTAATTACACTACAGATGATGGTTGCCATCCCTCTGTTGCTCATGGAAGGGTAGCTGAGCCTGTGTGCCTCATGTACAGAGAAATGGAATTTCCATGAGCTCTCTATTGCTCACAACCTTCAGCTCTATCTCCAAAATGTGCTGGAAACATTCCCTGCTGGTGAAGCTGCTTCTTTTTGAGTTACAGCCATCAGAAACTATAAGAAATCTCAGTGTTTCATGTTAGGGATAATGAGTTTGTAATTGAATTTGTCTCCTTTCCATTCCATTTTTGGTTTTACTAAAGAGGTTTCCCTTGTTTTTTCCCCAGAATGCCAGGACTGGTGGGCAGCAGGTTGCAGACAGAACACTTCTGCACTCCCTGCAAACTGCACAGTCTGTTCTGCTGTGAAAAGCCTTCACATAGTGACAGACTTCAGAGAGCTATCAGAAAAGCTCCAGAGGCATCAGCCTTTTCTCATCAAGGTAATGCAGGGATTGGTGAGCTGGGTGATGAGTCCAAACTCTTGAACAGCACAAGCCCAAAACCCCTGCCCAGTATTTTCACCCATGAGCTCAAACTGCTCATTCAGGACATGGTTAAGAAGATATTTCACTCCTGTAAAGATGTGGGAGGAAAGAGCTCCCTGCATTGTTCCTCTGACTAATGATCATTGTGTTTGAGCACTTAGCAATCCATGTGGCTGTTGCTCTTGGATGTTTTTTAGTGGGAGGAAAATGGGAGCAGGGGGCAACCCTGTGGGCACAGCTTTTATCTCTGTTTCATGTTCTTTAAGACAGGGCAGCACCTCTCCTATGAAGAACTGAAGCATTTTCAGTCCCAGGATCCAGAACTGGCAGAGGTTATAATAGAAGAAAATTCAGCTGAATTATGGAGCTGCCCATTTTTCTTTCCCTGGTGAGTCAGACAAACCATGTGATGGATGGATGGATGGATGGATGGATGGACGGACAGACACATCCTTTCTGTAGGGGTGCTCAGGCTCTGCCTGTGTGAGCCAAGTTGCAGTTTAACTGGAGGGAAGGTGTACAGGAGTGGGTTTCAGCCTGCTTCTGCTTGCTGCCACTGATTTGTTCTGAGGATGAGACTTATGCACTAAAAATGGAGAGTTGGTGCTTGGTCTCCAGCTATTGCTCCTCTTATAAGATAAAATTATCCCAAGGACTGTTCTTCAGGCTGTAAATCATCTGGGCTGTGATCTGATCACCTGAGGCAGCTGGTTCACATTTCTATCACCTCTGTCTGCTCAGTGGAAATCCTCCACCACTGGTGCTGACTGAGAAGAGATGCTATGACTTCTGCAAACACTGAGAAGTAATGGAAAGTCAAAGAATCCTGCAGTTTGTGTTTGGTCTTGTGCAGAAATACAGCCAACTCTCATCCTGCCCCTTTATCCAAAAGCTCTTTGCCAAAGCCTTTAATGTGAACAAGACATGTGAGTATCTCAGAGTTCTCTGAGGTCTCAGAGCCAGCACTGGTAGAGGGATGGTCAGGGTACAGAAGAATTAATCAGTTAGACAGGGATGTAAAGATAACAAGCCCCACCTGGCCTTTTCCAGTTACATTTCCTGGTCTGGAGAATAACCTTGGATCCCCCCTGCCTCACAGTGTGGGTTCAGTTATGGTTGTGTATGATGCCACCTCTCTGCATCTTTTGTAATTGATGGATCTGATTAATGACTTGGATCATTTTAAAGGAAAAGGAGAGGGAAATGAAGTTCAGGTATCCATAAGGATCTGTTTGCTCCATCTTTACATGGTCCTGGTGCAGGAGCCCAGAAGAGAGTGGGGAGGAGCAGATTTAGAGGCTGAGGTTGAATCTTGCTCCTGACTCCCAGAGCTAGTCTGTCATGCTGTTTATCAAGCATGAACGTTTGTCAATAATTTTATCTGAAAAGTAGCTTTTAAATGCAAACATTATCATTGTATGATGATTCTTTAATATGGGCTGGTTTGTTTAGGAACAAGTCTGTGAATAGATCCCGGATTCTTCAGGAATTTTTCCCTGCTTCCTCTTTGCTGTCCTTCCCCAAGACACTGTCCCTGGAGAGCTGCTTCCTCATCCGCCACCCAGACTTGGGGAATAAGGTGAGAAGTTAATTCCAAAGGCATTCTCTTCTGTCCATGAGTTGTCTCCCAGCAGCTCTGAGTTTTTGTGGGATTTGCAGGGCATTTTTAGCCGATTCAGTCCTGAAAAGGAGCTTTTGGGGTGTCTCAGTTCTCCATCCCTGTGTAAAGTAGCATCTCAAGGTGGTTGTGCTTCCCAGCACCTCTGTCCAGTTTGGGACAGGAGATGTGCCCTGTTGGGGCAGGAGGTGTGCCCTGTGCCCATCTCCCTTGGAGCTGGAAATGTCACAGAAACACAGGGACTTTAAGGATCACCTTGTTCCAACACCCCTTGCCTGCTCCATTCATGTGTCTGGCCTTGCTCTACAGCTGGGTGAGATCTCTCTGAGCACAGTTGGGCAGAATTGTTTTAAGAGCTGCATTTTAGGAGCTGTTCTGGCAGTGTGTCTCACTCATTCTGACACTTCACTGGCCTGATCTCCTCCTGTGTGTTTTCCTGAGCTGTGGGGATGTGCAGGCCCTGCCTTGCCTTGGAGCAGAGGAGAACCCTTGCATGCAGCTGACCTCAGCTAAAATTCTGTGCTCCACTGGTAACTGGTGGAGCAGCAAACTTGTTTGTTCTGTTTCACCTGCCTGCAGGGCAGTGGCTGTCCCTGCTTTGGGCAGACAGAGTCAAGGAAAGCTTTTGAAATCCTCTCCTCTTGTCCTAGAGCTACAGCCTGCACAGCCTCTTTGCTGTTGGGAGTGGGCAGCTCACCCTGACTGTGTCACCTCTGGACACGTGCAGAGGACACTGTGAGGTGTTCAAGGTGGAGCTGGAAGCTGGAGATTTGGGTGAGTACCAGAGCTGTGGCTTGCAGGGGCTGGGAGTGGAATCAGGAGATTGCTTCCAGCTGGGTCTTTTCTGTCTGACACCTGGGATGGTGGTTTGTGCCATTGTCACCTCCAGACTGGTGTGTGCCTGCTTGTCACAGCACAGGGAGTGATCCTGAGTGAGTTTGTGGCCTGGAACTGCAACACTGGTGATGCTCCAAGCTGAGCAGTGTGGGTGCACAATGGGTGTTACAAACCCAGTGCCCACTGAGGGAATTGTCTTTCCAAAGAGCTCCAGCATGAGCACATCCCTTTGTGGAAATGGGAGCGCTCATTAAGGATGGGCTCATCTAACAGAGCCTCTCCATTGCCTCTTCCCAAGGTTATGCCAGCACAGATCACTGGACAATGAGCTTCATGGCCAGAGGGACAGAGCCAGCTGTGATTTGTGATGGAGCTGCCAGCTAAGGATGCTGGGGTGGGAAAACAGAGCTGTTCCCAGGACAAGACGACTTTCAGCTTTGAAGCCAAGGCAGCGTCTTGAGAGAAGCGAGCCGGGGCAACTGGGGCAGGCAGCTTTGCCACCCTGCATGTTTACAGTGTTTAAAAAGGACTATTTTCCTGACCCTTGAGGTAATCCTTTGCCTTTCCTCAAATGTATTTTGGGAGAAGCTCAAGCTATTTATGACCCTCCCTGTCCCCTCAGGTAAGCCCTGGGTTTGCAGCAAAGGGGTTTTTTTTCCAGGAGCAGCAGATGGATTTCTCAGGATGAGATTCACCTTATGTTCTTTGTGGATTATGGCACTTCTGAAACTTCCTGGGGGGTTTGGGAGTGGATGGGGTGTGTGACATTTCTGTGTACATTCCTCCTGAGGAGGAAGCTTTGAGCCTGTGTTGTCAGGCCAGTTCTATAAAGGGAATGAATTGGTGATGTGTCCCAGCTCTGCCTCACGTCTGCAGCTGTGTGAGCCCTGCAGAGCTGACCTTGGCTCCTGCTCCCTGCCTGGGGAGAGCCTTGAGCCTGAGGGCAGAAACTCTCACCCACTTCATCCTTCTTGTACCAAAAGAATCCCTTTGGGCCTCTCTGTGTTGTGTTCACCCTTCTGCAGCTCTCTGTCAGCAGGTTGTGTGAGTGAGTCAAATGGTAATTGTGCTTTTCTTCACCTCCACTTCCTTTCCTGCAAAAACACCGACACACATCTCAGAGGTGCTGGCAGTGGAGGAGTTCTGGATGGAGCTGGGGCTGGGAGAGAGCAGCTCTGTCCAGCTTTCACCTCAGACACCAAGGGCTGCCCAGCCATTCTCAGCTGCTCCTTGTTTTTGGAGGCACTGCCTGCGTTCCCAGCCCTCGGTACCTCTGGGAGCACCTGAAACCTCCCTCTTCCCTGGCATATTTTTGCATTGACTCCTTCCAGACCTGGAACTCTGTCTTCAGAATGAACATTGGTTTTTCCTGGGTCCTTTCCAAGCTGCCTTTGCGTGTTTCCTGCTGCTGGAGCAGCGCTGTCTCCAGTGCCCTGAGAGAGGCTCGGGTTCGGGCTTTGCAGACTGCGGATGCTCCGGTCCCTTCCAAGTCTGATCCTTTGGGTCTGATCCCACTGCTGAAGATCATTTACAGATGTGTCAGGCTGAACTCACAGGCCAGGGCTGGAGTTCAGGACATACTCTCTCACACTTGTTCATATGGAGTTGGGAGGGGTTTTGGTTGACAACGAGTTAACTCTGTACTCAGGAGCAAGAGCCTTTTTCTCTGTAAATATTTTAGGTACATGTAAAATGACAGATTGGGAAAATGTCTGTCCAGCCTTTGTTTTTGAGGAGAATGGGAGCAAGCATTGTGCTAATCTGATTGGGAGTTGATAAAAGCTGCCAAGTGGGATGACCACTTCTGGCTCCTGTACAAGAATAAGGCAGAGGACAGTTCCTGCTCCAAAGAATTCAGTCTGAGGCCTTGACACTACAAACATTTCTATGCATAACCCTTGTTTTTCTCCTGTCAAAACAATGAGAACAAGCCCAGCACCTGTGTCAGTCTGTGCATGGCCCTTGGTGCTGGACACACACCAGATCTAGTAGAACCAAAATGGGAGAGAGAGTCTGGCTCTCTCAGGATAGAAAAGGACTGATATAATTTGTTACCAAGTATTAAAGGGAATTGGACTAATAGAACTTCCATTAGTGTTCTCACTGCTTGGAGTGTATTTCACACTCATGACACTACATTCAATCTTGTACATGCCAAGACACACACACACACCACCCCTCTCCCTCCTCTTAAAGCCTGGGTCTTAGTTAATGGAAATTTGGGAGTTTAGTGATGGCAGAATTAGGGCCTCATTAGTGACTGTTGCTATTTACACTTTGGCAGCTTCTCAAATCAAATTCAAAGGCTGACCAGGTTACTTCACCTCTTACTGCTTTTGTATCTGACCCATTTTTGTAAAGCATTTGCTCAAAGATGCTGCTGGAGCCATTCTTGCTGAGATTGCGGCGGTTTGGTGACACTGTCACTGCTAAGTGTCCTTGACTGTAACTTGTAAAAGAGCTGCGGAGACAATTCCCAAGTGTCTGTGAAATGCCTGGAGTTTGAGAGCCACACTTAAGCCATTGTGGCTGTCTGGCTCTTTCAGGAAGAAGCAGAGAAAATGGATCTATTTACAGTTGTTGTTTGGACTGGGGGGAGGAAGGGGCAGGTTTTTAGCAGAAATGTTCTCACGTAGTACTTCTCCCTTCCTCGAAGAGTTGCAGCTGGTTGGACAGGAGCTGGTGAGTCTGGCCTGTTTGCAGAGCAGCCTTCCAAGTGCACTTTATGGGCTCTGCATAAGTTTCCAGCTCTGTCTCAGATACATTGCATATGTCCCAGCCTCGCTCCCTTCGGAGCTTACATCATTTGTTTTTAAGCTCTCCGGTATATTTTCTCTTCCTCTTCCAAAGGCTGTAAGGAATTAGCTGCTAAACTAAAACAGGAGGGCAGTTCTCCTGCTGATAAAGAGTCAATTTTGGCCCAAGTGCAGAGCCCCAGTCTGCAGCACAGCTTCCAGAGCAGCTCCTGTCTCCAGCTGCCAGAGGAGTGGTGCTCCCACCTTCCACATCCCAGGGCAGACAAGGAGCCACGGTGGGAAAACCAAAGGTGAGGCCACAATGGCAGAACTGGGATGGCCAAAGGGAGGTTTTGATACCTGGTTGTCTTCCACATCCAGAGCTGCAGCTTCCCAGAGTCCCTGGAAAGGCTGCAGGACTTCCCTGGGGAGGCTGGTGGTCCTGGTGGCCTGCTGAGGTGGAACAGGGCTGTTCCTGCAGCTGTTGAGGTTTCACAGCCATGATCACATGAGTCACAAAGGGGGTGTCCCACCATGGTCTCCCTCACCTCAGCTCCCCTTTTGCACTCTCTGTGCTGGTTTGGACAATCTCCCACTCTGCCCAGCTCACACAAGTCCCCAGTTAAAACAATTTAAAATCCCTTTGTGTGCTTCAGAGCTCATTGCCTGTGAGCTGGGAGATGGATTCCTCCTCACCCCACATCCCAAAGGCTGCAAAGCTGCTCTGAAATCACCCCAGAAATCGGTACTACCCACGAGCCCAGAGGAGGGGGCACCTCTGCCCTTGCCAGGCTGGAAGGACAGGCTGTCCCCATCAGCTGGGCAGGAGGATCGTGGTTTAAAGCTGCTCCCCAAAGCAGGGTCACTGACCAGTGCTGTCAGTCAGTCCTGAACTCAGGGTAACTGAAAGGAGGAGAAAGGATTATTATGATTTACTGCAGTACCAGGAAATCAGCGGCCCCCACGGGAGCCAACATGGCAGTTTTTATTGATTCTTTTTTTTTGCTTTCTTTGTTCCTTTTCATTTTTTTTTCCCTGCCCACTGTTATTGCACACATTGATTCCCCTGAGGGGTCTCTCTTGAGTCAGATTCCCCATGAGTCTCCAGACTGCAGCTTCTCCCACCAGGCCTTGTTCTTGGAATGTTCTGGAGGAGAAGCTGCTTTGTCTGGGCTGGATCAAAGCACCTCCCTTCCCTCATGGCCTCCTGGGCTCCAGCAGCAGCAGCAGGAGGTGGGGAGCAGGAGAGCATCTCATGGTAGAGATGTGAGCTCTGTAATCCCCAGTGTCTCAGAAATGGGGATCCTTCTGCCTTGAAACCCTCTTGTTCCCTCCCTCCAGGAGGGAAATTTCCACACACCCCAATCCCAGGTCCTCATTCAGTCCTGTGGCCCCCAAGAAAATGGAACATTTCCTGCGGTGATGCCATTTTGATGGGTGCACAAAGAGTTTTTGCTTCCTGCAAACCAAACTTTTCTCCTCTTGGTAAATTTTATAGGTAGAGCTCAAAATCCTCCTCTTCAGGAACCTCCTCCTTGTAAAGGGCAGATTTAGTGTCCTGCTGAGTTAGACAAGGGAGATGCTGGACTTCCCTTTGCTTTGGAGATTCAGACAAATGGCAGGTGATTTATTTTTAGCATTATCTCCTTGGCTTGGGGAGGGGAACCACATTCTAAAGGCTCAGAGGTGCTGGGAAGTAAAGCTATATATGCATAAAGACTGTTTCAATGCTGAACACTAAAGTTAGTGATGGATTAAAAAAAAAAAAAAAAAAGAATGTGAATATGCACTTAATGCAGAATTTTATGGATGGTCCTAATTTAATATATTGCAAACTTTGTAAATACTTGGGAAAAGCCTGTAAAGTATGTAAATAAATGAGATTTGTATGTAAGAAGAATAAAAAAGTTTTTAATTTTTGCAATTAAATACAAGTGTTAATGACCCTTTTCCCTTTTCCTGATTTTTATTCTTATGTTGCATGTCAGCTTTGAGGGGTATTTAACCTTTTTTGATACACTTTTTCTAAGATAAGTGTAATTTTAAATGAAAAGTCAGAACGCTTTTGTTAGGAAAATGTCATAAGAAACACTTTGTGAAAAAGGAACAGTTTAGGAAATTTTTAGCCTGATTTTCTGAACAAAGTTGATGCAACAACTCTGCCTGTCCCTCCTTTCTTTTCTTCCCAGCAACAATCTCCATCTTTCCTTCACAATCCAGTTGATTTTAGCCAAACTTTGAGGCGTGGAAGGCGATAAACTCCTCCAGAGCTCATAAATCCAAGCGAGTAGGGAGAAAAGAGAGATCCTGTTACTCCCACAGCAGAGCAGGAGCCTGTTAGACACCGAGCAGCCCCACTGGAGACCCTGAGATGTGAGTCAGTAGAAACACCGGCTTGGTCACTTCTGTGCTGGAGCAGAGCCTGTCAGGTGTTGTGGACAATCCTGGGTGGCAGCAGTTTTGGGGTGGGGCAACCTTCAGGAGGGTGGAGGAAGGGATGGGAGAGCAGGGATATGACCCTGGCCAGAAACTCCCTGGAAAAGCTGAGGTAATTGTGGGATCCCAAAGCTTTGGGGCAGTGCACAAAGGGTTTCTGGAGCTTAAACCCGGTGTGAGACCCCCTTGATTCCTGTGGTGGGGTTGAAAGGGTGCAGCCCTTTTTCCTTGCACACTTTGGATCCCTCCCTGCTGGGTTCCCAAGGATGAGCAGGTGACACTACCACACACAGGAAAGGTTAATGGGATATTTGGGGTCATAATGGGTGTGGCTCCTGTCCCTGTCCCCATGCTGCTCCCTGGGGTGGCCATGGGCTGTTCCTTGTGTGAGCAGAAGGAAAGCTGCATTGCACATACCCTGTCAGATGGCTTGGTTACTCCAGCCAGCCCTGAGGGCAGCCACAGACTCCCAGCTCTCCTGTTTGGGGCCATCTCAGCTCTGTACCCTGTTCTTCCTCTCCTGATGGTTCAGGGCAGAGGCATCACCCTCAGCTTGCCCCTGTTCCCAGCAGGCTGGGCAGCCCAGGGGCTGTTCCTCAGCTGCCAAATGCTGTCCCACCATCACAGACCTGGGCTCTGCCTTTGTTTCTAACACATTTCTAACCCTGCATTCCAGGCATAGGGGAGGACCTGTGTGAAAACAGGGCTTTGTCAAATGCTGTGGGATTGTTGGTACAGATTGTGGGTGGCACTGGGGTGGGTATTTGCTGCAGGGTACCTGTGAGGAGGAGGAAGCTGATGAGGTTGTCTCTGGGCAGCTGGAAGTGGCCTCGTGGTCAGAGGTCCTCGTTCTCCTGGCGAGCTTCAACCATCCTGAGATTTGTTGGAGAGATAACATGGAAGTCCAGGAAGTTCCTGCAGATCATTGAGAATAATTTTGATACAAGTGGTGGAAGAGCCAAGGAGGAGTGGTGTGTTTCTGTTTTGTGCTGCCAAACCAGGAGGGACTGGTTGAGGATGGGAAGGTTGGGGAAAGCCTTGCCTGTAGTGCCCCATGTTATGGCGAAACTCAGGATCCTGTGTGGGAAACAAAGCTGTAGCAGGGCTGGAAGCCTGATTTTCCAGAGAGCCAATTCAACCTTTCCAAAGACCTACTCAGAGGAATCCCATGGAATAGGGCTCTAGAAGGGAAGAGGGCCCAAGAAAACTGGTCAATATTCACACATCCAACTCAAGACCAGTGTATCCCCATGATCCAAAATCAAGCAAGGGGGCAGGAGACCTGCATGGAAGAGCAGAGAGGTTCTAGCAATTCTCAAATAGAAGAAAGACACTTATGGGATGTTGAAAAAGGGACAGGCAGGTGACAGATCTATGGGAACATATTTGGGGTATGGAGGGATGCAACAAGGAAGGCCACAGTCCACTTGGAATCGAGTCTGGCAAGGGATATCAACAACAACAAGAAGGGTTTCTCCAAGTGCATCCAAGCAGCAAAAGGAAGATTAGGGAAAATGTGGGGCTGCTGCTGAATCCAGTGGGTGTCCTGGACATGGAAGACACAGAGAAGGTGAGATTTCTCAACACCTTCTTTGCCTCAGTCTTTACTGCTGAGAGCAGCCCACAGGAATCCCAGATGTTGGAAGTAAGAGATGAAGGATGGAGAAAGGAAAGCTTCCCCTTGGTCACAGAAAGTTGAGAGAGATCAACCAGGCAGCCTTAACACCCATAAATCCATGGTGGGATGCATCCACAGGTGCTGAGGGAGCTGGCAGAAGTTGTTGTTTACCCACTCTTCATCATCTTTTAAAAACCCTGGAGAATGAGAGAGGTGCCCAATGACTGGAGAAAAGCCAGTGTTAAATCCTGTCTTCAGAAGGGGCAAGGAGGATCTGGGGAACTCCCAGCCAGTCAGCCTCACCTTCATCCTTGGAAACGTGATGGAACAGCTCATTCTGAAGGTCATCACAAACACCTGGAAGTAAAGGAGGTTATTGGAAGGGTCAGCATGGACTCACCCAGAGGGAATCCTGCTTGGCCAATCTGATGCCCTCTGTGATGGCATGGCAGGATGGGTTGATGAGAGGAGAGCAGTGGGTGGTGTCTACCTTGACTTCAGCAAGGTTTGTGACACTGTGTCCTGTAACATCCCCCTGGATAAGCTCAGGAAGTGTGAGTTGGATGAAAGGACAATGAGTGGATCAACAACTGGCTCAATGGCTAAGCTCAGAGAGTTGTGAGCAGAGCAGAATCCCTGGAGGTCTGTAGTCAGCGGCATTCCCCAGGGATCAGTAATGGGTCCAGTCTTATCTAATTTGTTTATCAACAGACTGGGTGAAGGGATGGAATGGACCCTGAGCAGGTTTGGTGATGGTACAGAACTGGGGAGTGGCTGATCCACCTTTCAGAGGGGCCTGGACAGGCTGCAGAGTGGGATGGAGAGAAACCCAATGAGGTCCAACAGGAGCAGGTCCTGCACCCGGGGAGGGATAACCCCAGGTACCAGCACAGGCTGGAGGTGACCTATGGAGAGCAGCTCTGCAGAGATCCATGAGTTGACCATGAGCCAGCAGTGTGCCCTGGGGCCAGGAGGGACAATGGGATCTATTGGGGAGCATTGGGAAGAGTGTGGTGAGCAGATCCTTACCCTCTGCTCTGCCCTGGGGAGGCCATACCTGTGTTCAGTTCTGGTCTCCAAGAAAGACAGGAGTTACTGGAGAGACTCCAATGGAGGCCATAAAGATGAAGGGACTGGAGCATCCCTCTGATGAGGAGAGACTGCTGGACCTAGTTAGTCCGGAGAAGAGAAGACTGAGGGGGGATCTCATCAATCCATATAAATATATCCAGGAGGTGTCAGAGGATGCTGTCAGACTCTTTAGTGGTGCCCAGCAACAGGACAAGGAGCAATGGCCAAAAGCTCAAAACACAAGAAGTTCCACCTCAAGACAAGAAAAAAAATCATTCCATGGAGGGTGGAAGAGCACTGAACAGGTGCCCAGGGAGTTATGGAGTCTCTCACTCTGGAGATATCTCAAACCCACCAGGATATGTTCCTGTATCAGCTGTTCCTGGTGATCTTGCAGAGGGGTTGGACTGGATGATTTCCAGAGGGCCCTTCCAACCTCAGCTATTCTGTGATTTTGAGGAAAAAGACAGGAGGTAAACAAGGGGACCCATAACTGAGGGTTCAGGGGTTGGCTGAGGTTTGGAGCCAGCAGAGGGGTTGGACTGGATGATTTCCAGAGGGCCCTTCCAACCTCAGCTATTCTGTGATTTTGAGGAAAAAGACAGGAAGTGAACAAGGGGACCCATAACTGAGGGTTCAGGGGTTGGCTGAGGTTTGGAGCCAGCAGAGGGGTTGGACTGGATGATTTCCAGAGGGCCCTTCCAACCTCAGCTATTCTGTGATTCTGAGGAAAAAGACAGGAAGTGAACAAGGGGACCCATAATGGAGGTCTCAGGGGATGGCTGAGGTTTGGAGCAGCAGAGGTTTGGATGAACAATGCCAATCTGGGACTGGGATTCAGGCATGGACAGTGACCCTGCGTGTTGGCAACAGGCCCAGTGCAACCTCTCCATCAAGGCCGATATGTGACACGGGTGTGTCCTATGGGGCTCCAAAACTCTAATAAATACATTTCCTCCCCAATCTCCAAGCTGTTGGGTGTTCCTGGCTCTTGGGAGGTGCTTTAAATCCGACTGCCAGAGCCGTGGGCTGCTGAGAGCAGAAGCTGCCTGCACGATGCTGAGCTCAGGTCTTCCTCCCGTTCTCCTGGTGCTCTCAGTGCTGGAGCTGAGCTGGTGCCTGAGTGATGAAGAAAAGAAGATCATCGTGGATGAGCATAATAAATATCGCTCCCAGGTCTCTCCTCCTGCCCAGGCTATGATGAAGATGGTAAGTGGCTTTTATTAGAGAGGAATATTGGGGTGTTTGTGTGGTCCAAGGCTCGATCTTAATGCAAGGAGGGGTCAGGGAGTTCCTTAGGGGAGGCAGAGCAAATCTCATCTAGGGTTACAAGCAGTTGTTAAAGGAGGGATTTCCAAAACTGCCTCTGTAGAGAAGAGTTTCCTTTACCTTTGGAGTTGTCTTTGATCATTTTCTGGAAGTTCCTAAGCATGATGTGAGTCCCCAGATGCTCTTCCATGAGAGTGGTGCAGCTCTCACTCACAGGAGTGCCTGCTGGAGCCCCCTGTGATGGCAGGAAGGGCAGGTGAGACCCTGCCATGAGCAGGTGCCATGACCTGGAGACTTGGCCATGGTTTTCCAAGAGGTGAAAAGAGGGAATCCTGCTATGTGGGACACCACACACTGCTCTGTATTTGCATCAACTTCAAACACGTTGGTCAAATCTGTCATTTATTTGGGCCCATCATGCTCCTACTCCTCTGCATGCCTTGTGCAGGGCTGCCTTGGATGTGAGGGATCCCCTGTTTTGCTTGAGGAAATCAAATCAGGTCTCACATCACATGTGGCTGCAGCAGGAGCAAAACTGAGCTCTAGAGGTGGTGCTTTTTGTCTTGCTCAGGCTCTTGATTTGATTAGAACTTGGCTATGAAGTTTTATCTTGCACCACATGTGATTTTTCCTCATTGTTTGCAAATTATGGGGAGGAGGAGAACAACTGTTTATCCTGGAAAGTTGGAGCCCTTTCCTTCTTGGGTCACAGCGTGCTTGGAGGACACCTCCCTGCCTGGCCCAGAAGTTGCCCAGAATGAGTAAAGCCTTTGTGGGCTGGTAAATGGGAGTTTAACAACCAAACAAAGCCAAAAATTCAGGGAGAGGAGACCTAACAGTGACTGCAGACTCAAAGGGGACAGAGCCAGAACCCTCAGCACTGTGATGGTTTCTCCACACTGAGTTGAGGATGGTCCATGATGGTGTTAGGTAAGCTCCAGGAGAGGTTGTGAGAGTTGTGCTGGTGCCCTGACCTTCTCCTATTTGACCTATAAACCAAGGTTCATTTTGTGCTGGGATTGACCATGGAACTCCCCTCTCCTGAGGACTGTGTTGGGCAGGGGTTTGAATTTTCCTCATGAATGGGGAAACTTTGGCCAGACAGGGCAGGGGTCCTTGGTGGGTGCCTTGTTCCTGTTGGAGAGCCCAGTGTCCCTCCCTGTGTGCTGACTCCGAGCTCCTTTCAGACCTGGGACCCCGACCTGGAGGTTGATGCTCAAAAGTATGCAGAGAAGTGCATCAGGGCCCAGAATGGGGGCCCAGGCAGGTTAAACTTCTTTGCTACACCTTCAGCCCTGGATGTAAAATTGGCCATTGAAGAATGGAACAGGGAGAGGATATCCTTCAACCTGAAAACATCCGAGTGTGTCCCCGTGCATTCGTGTGACAACTACGTCCAGGTACCAGGGGTGGAAGGGCTGTTGGGGTGGAGCACTGCCCCAGCTCCTCCCAAAATCTTTGCCAAAGGACAGGGAACCAGGTGGGATTCACAGTGATGGAGGCAGACCTGGGCACGGTGTCAGTCATGGGTGGCCTTTTGGAGAAGAACTTTTTTGAGACAAGCTCTGCAGCCCTTTTTTTTGGCTGCTTAGCAGTGCCAGCTCAGTGCCAACTTATCTTGAGTAGAAGGATGAGATCTGAGTGTTCACAACTTGGGTGGGAGCAAGGAGGAGAAGCGATGGTGGTGGTAAGTGGATGGATGGATGGATGGATGGATGGATGGATGGATGGATGGATGGATGGGGGATGGATGGATGGATGGATGGATGGATGGATGGGGGATGGATGGATGGATGGATGGATGGATGGATGGATGGGGGATGGATGGATGGATAGATGGATGGATGGGGGATGGATGGATGGATAGATGGGGGATGGATGGATGATGGATGGATGGATGGATGGATGGATGGATGGATGGATGGATGGAGGATGGAGGATGGATGGATGGATGGATGGATGGATGGATGGATGATGGATGGATGGATGGATGGATGGATGGATGGATGGATGATGGATGGATGGTTCCAACACCAAAGCAGAGGTGGTGATGCTTTGCCTGGGTAGACTGTATGGTAGGAAAGCTGTGGCACTGGAATGTATGGCCTTGGGAAGGTGGTTCAGACAGGGGCAAGGGGGAAGATCCTGAATGCCAAAGCAACGTGGGGATGGGGATCTGGGGCACATGCTGGGAGATGAGGAAGATATTGGAGCAGCCTTTAAGGCCAGGGGAGAGACTGCCTTCAGCCTGTCCCCTCACCTTCAACCCTGGTCTTTGCCTTAGATGATCTGGGCAGCAACAACTCGTGTTGGCTGTGGGAGCCATTATTGTGAGAAGATCAAGGGAATGGAAGCAGAGAACCTGCACCTGCTTGTCTGCAACTATTATCCCCCGTAAGTTCCAGGCCCCAGTGTCCGTCCCTTGCTCTGTTCTGAGGGGGGTCAGGGATCTGCTCATCCCCCAGAGTTGTCTGCCCTGGCTTTAGCTGCCTTGGGGTCAGGCTGGTGAGTAAACAGCCCTGACAGGCCGTGGCAGGAGACCAAGACCTGTTTTCTACATTAATCCCTAGTTTTGCCTTGGCTGGGATATTCCAGCTGAATCAGCCCCCTCTCTGGGATGGGTGTTTCCCCTTTCCTCATGTCTTCTTTATCTTTGCATTTTCTGCTTCCAGGAGTAATATAACAGAAAAAAAGGCCTACTGGGAAGGACCCTCGTGTAAAATGTGTCCCAGGGGCACAGTCTGTGTGGACAACCTGTGTGGTGAGTGAGCAGAGCCATGCATGGCCCTGGGGGGGATGTTGGGACTGAGACCCTGGGCTGGTCTGAGCTCTGAACCCTCCCAGAGCTGTCAGGAAGCTCCTGAACTGCAGTTCCAGGGCTGGACCATGAGACATCAGGAGCAATTGCTGCTCCAAACAGAGGTCAACTGCCTTAAAATGAGGAGGGGTGGTCAAGGGCCTTGTACCCCATTAGGGAGTGTTTTTTGCCCCTTGTGGGGCAGGAGGTTGTGAGGGACATGAGATGACCTCAGGTTGGGAACCCCAGGGTGGGGGATGGCCCCAACAAGAGGGTTTGGCTGCTGTTTCAGCTCCTCGTTGGTTTCTGCTGGTCCTGCTCAGTGCAGAGGATCCATTGAGGTGAGCCAGCCCTAATCCATGGCACTTTTCATTTCTGCATCTTCTTCACCCACCCTAACAGCCCTGCCAAAACTCACAGCCACAGCCAAAACAGAGCCCACAGCATCAGAGGCCACCATAGCCACAGCCAAGCCACCATCCAAAAACTCACTTCCAACCACAATCACAGCCAAGCCACCCCCCACAGCCACACTGCCCAACACAGCCAGGCCCAAACCCCCAACACTCTCACCCATCACAAGAGCCAAACCAAAACTTGCCGCCAGTCAACAACCCCAGCCAGGCCAAAACCCACAACACCAAAACCCACCACAACTCTGGCTGAGCCAATATCTGCTGCTACAACACCAGCATGTGCCACAAGGGCAAAGACACAACTGAAAACTGCCACAACCACAAAGCCAAAGCACAAAGAACTGATCCTGTTGAACCAGGATCATTCTTTCCTGTGAGCCCAAGTTAGACCCATCTCCAGAGCTTGAGGCAGGCAATGGAGAGCTTCTTAGCTCCCTCACTAAAGAGGATCTTCTACTCTAACTTCATCTTGTCTTCTTTTCCTTCCATATCTGCTCTGGACACAACAAAACCGGGAACAAACTCAGACCGGACAAGCGTGGATCGGCCCAAAGGAGGAGCCCCCAGTACCTGCCTGGGCCTTTCGCTCTTCCTCCTCCTCCCCAGTGCCATCCTGGTGGGCCTTCTGCTCTGAAGGGTCTTCCTCAGCTCTCCCTGCACCCTCACCAAGGCTTTTGTCAGCGCTGGTTGTTCCACAGCCCTGGCAGGCTCAGGAGCTCCTTGGACCATTCCCGCGCTCCCTCCTTGCGCTGCCTGCTCTGCTGCAGCCCCAGAGAGCCAAGGGCAGCTGATGCTGGGGGAGCTTTGTCCCCTTCCTGAGGAGACCTGAGGGCAGGAGGGTGTTTGCCATAATGCTGGTGACTTGGATGCTTCTCCTTTTTCCTGGCTTCTGTTCTGTTTCCAGGCTGGAAGTGTTGAGCTCCCCCACTTACCCACAAACCCATATGGCTGACCCTGGGGACAGCAGGGTGACTTGGGGACAGTGAGACATGGTGGTTGGCATTGCTCTTTGTCAGGAGAAGTTTCCCACATAAAGGCTCTTTTCCCTTCCAGTGTGTTTCTTTCAGTTTTGGACATATTTTATCTCTTTCCTATCTTATCCAATTAGAATGGCTATTTGAGGATTTCTGTTTCCTCCTGGTTCTGATGGAGCTCTGGCCAGTACTGCCCAGCTGTTCTCCGCTCGCCTCCTCACATTCTGCAGCCCTTGCCTCCTCCCTGTCTCCTCCTCCCTCTCTCTTGCTCTCTGGCACATATCCCATTCCTCAGTCACTCTAATGCCACAGATTTATTTTTCACGTGTCCCTGCACCTGTGTGCACACACAGAAGAGAAACCTTCACAGCTGAGAGGGGCCACCAGCTCCTTCATGTAGCTTTTCCCTGCATGGCTTCATTGCATCATTTCAGTGTATTTGAATTTAAATACAGACCCTGCTTGATGTGTAACTTGTGTGTGTGTGGTCAAGGAGAACAAATCCTCATATGTGTTGGTACAATCTGAGCTCCAGAGGTACAATTGATGCTGTTAGAGGTTATTGGCGGCTCTGCTGCCCAGCAGCCCCAGCAGTGCAGCAGGAGCCCAGCTGGCTGCAGCATGCTCTGAGCTCCCAGCCCAGCCCAACCCAGCCCAGCCCAGCCAGGAGGTGACCAGCAGATGGCACTGGGAGAGGCACCGCTGAGAGCTGGGCACCTCTACTCGCCCCCACACCCTGCCCGCAGCTCTGAGCTTTTTTTCCCTGCCAGCCTCAGGTGGAGTTAAGAATCAGATTAGAAATAACCTCGTGCCCAGGTGCTGTAGATGCTTCTTATCTCCTGCTGCCACTCCCTTGGGGGAGAAATCCATCCCTGCCTTGTGGACAGATGATAAAAACACAGCCCCAGAGGCTGCAACTCAGCCCTGTGAGGGGAGAGGGCTCGGAGCTGGGACAGCATCTCAGGACCTCATCTGCTTTTGCATCTGACTGAAGGACAATGTAGCATTCCCTAAAAGTTCTCTAGAAACACCACCAAGAGCAGAAGAACATTTCTCCTTCCAGCAAGATCAGGGCACTCAGGCAAGCCCTGATTTTGTTTCAGTGCTGGATCCTCACCCTGCTGAGAGCCATCAGGCACAACGTTGGTGCTGATTATCAGGCACCAACAGAATTCCAGGATTGCAGTGTTTTATCGCTGGTGTGGGGCTGTGAAAACCCTTGAGTTTTGTTTTCCTGGAGGTTTTGACTTGTGGGGACAGGCTGTTGTGCAAGGGCCTATTTATAGAGATCCTTGCAGCAGCAAACTCCAAGCCAGAAGGAAATCCGCTTTCCTCTTGCCCTGCTCCCCGGGACAGCAGGGCTGAGCCTGCCCACACAGGCATTTGGGGGCTTGGCTTCAGGGTGAATTTGGGGCTTTAGGCCAGGATAGAGTTTGGTGTGGTGCACAGAAACATTCAAGGGAGACTTTTGCAGCATTTCCACTCCATTTCTGGGGTTGGCATAAAGGGGATTCTGGCACTGGGGTGACCCTGGCAGAGATTCTGTCAGGTTCTTACATCCTTATGGCCCTTTTTTCTGGGAGGAGGAGAAGGCATTACCCACCAGCTGTGCTGCTTGGTGTCAAATGGAGGCATTTGTGGTGTTTGTGAGGCCTGGCTTCTTTATGAACCTCACCTGCTGGGTTCCCTCCATCCCAGGGCCTGTTTCCAGGCCATTGTAACCATCTGCAAAACTAAAACAGGAGGGCAGTTCTCCTGGGACTAAGAAATCTATTTTGGCCAAGTTTGCAGCACAGCTTTCAGAGTAGCTCCTCTATTCAGCTGCCAGAGGGGAGTGGTGCTCACACCTTCTGCATTGCCAGGATGGGAAACCCACGATGGCAAAACTGGCATGACCAAGGGGAGGTTTTGATACCTTGGCCAAAGAGCTCCAAGTGAGCCCTGATGAGGTCATTTTCCTCATCTTGAGCTCCAGTTTTACAGATCCTTGGAAAGGCTGAAGGAGCTGGGACCTCCCTAGAGAGCCTGGTGTTCTTGGTGACTTGCTGAGGTGGAACTGGGTGGGAATGGGCTGTTCCTGCAGCTGTCAAGGCATTGTGGTGACAGACACAATTGGATGAGTCGCAGATGAGGTGTCTCACCGTGGCCTCCCTCATCTCAGCTCCCCTTAGCACTCACTGAACTGGTTTGAATAATCCCCCACTGTTACCCTGCCCAGCTCAGGGAAATTCCCCATCAACACTTGTGTCTCAGCATTTTTAAATAATAGAGTGGATTAATGGATAAATAGTGTGGAAGATGACAAACTCCTCCAGAACTCATAAATCTGTGTGAGTAGGGAGAAAAGAGAGATCCTGTTACTCCCAAAGCAGAGCAGGAGCCTGTTAGACACCGGCCAGCCCTGCTGGAGATGTGAGTCAATAGAAACCCAGGCTTGGTCACTTCTGTGCTGCACAGTGGGGCCTCTTGGAGCCAGCAGAGCCTGTCAGGTGTGGGTGTGTGGCTCCTGTCCCTGTCCCCATGCAGTGGCTGCTGATCCCCGGGTGGGGGACGGGCTGTTCCTTGAGTGAGCAGAAGGAAAGCTGCATCCCACATTCCACACACACTTACCTAATGCCGGCTGGACACGAGTGTCAGCTCCAGGGTGGGGCTTGGGCCTTGCACTGCTAATCTTGATGCTTCAGACACTGGCTCCAGAAGAAGCTGTCAGAGCAGGTTGGGATTGAGAAATGGCCTGCACCCCTTTGGCAGCCGCCCTGCACTTGCCAGAGGCATCAGCTCTTACTCACGTTTCCCCACGAGCCACATGCCCTGGTGATGACTCCTCCAGGGCTGTTTGCTCTTCCCCACAAGCTCTGTGTATCCCAATTTCCTTCATCCTTGACCACGTTATCTCCTGCAGGGCTCAGCCAGGGCGCTGTAGTGCCAGGGGCTATGGGGAGCTTGGTCCTGCATCCCCACATCACCTTTGGGGAGACCAGAACCTGCACTAGTGGATGGTGTACTGCTCATGGCAGAGGGGTTGGGATGAGGTGAACTCTCAGGTTCTTCCCAACCCAAACCATTCCATGGCTTTAAATTCTCAGCACTGCCTTGTTTCTTGTAAACCAGGCCATGGTGAACTGTCCAGCAGGAACTGGAGCCTGTGTTGATGTTTTCTAGATGTTTCTCTCAGTCTCCAGACATCCAACAGCAAATGTGTGCAGGTGTCTCCATCAAGAGACAGATTTGCCTTAGCAATACACGAGAATCTCTGGTTTGAACATCTGAGTTGAAGACCTGGTGAGAGCTTGGCCTCAGACCCCACTTGCAGGAATTGTTGGACAATCGAGGGCATGGCTGAATGCAGAGCTAGTGAAGGACAAAGGAACACACAGAGCTCAGAGAGCTGGGGGGCAGCAGCAGAGCTGCTGTGGTGAGAGAGGTGACCCGAGTGGCCCAAAACCGGAGGAGAACCGACAGAGCATTGCCTGGGGAGGGGAGGGGAGGCAGAGCCGGGGCTGCGATGAGCTTGGCTCGGCTCTCAGAGCTGCCCACCCGCTGATCCTCCGCGATCCCTGCGGAGCTCCTGGAGCCGGGCCGGGCGCTTGCACAATCACAGATGGGAACCGGGGCTGGAGCAGCCCGGGGGGCTCGGCCGGACCCGCTCCGGCTCCGGGGCTGCGGGACACGGTGCGGAACCCCCCAGGTGTCTGCGGAGGGAGCACAGCCTGTCCCTGCCGAGCCGTGGTTTGGTTATTCCAGCCAGACTCCCAGCTCTCCTATCTGGGGCAATTTCAGCTCTGTACCCCGTTCTTCCTCTCCTGCTCCCCCCTGTGCTGATGGTTCAGGGCAGAGGCATCACCCCTCAGCTTGCCCTTGTTCCCAGCAGGCTGGGGCTGTTCCTCAGCTGCCAAATGCTGTCCCCCCATCACAGACCTGGGCTCTGCCTCTGTCTGGGGAGTTGCAGTGCTGCAAACTGCTCTCGGCAATTGCATCCTGCTGCCTTTGTTTCTAACGCAGCTGCGTTCCAGGCACGGGGGAAGACCCGTGTGAAAACAGGGCTTTGTCAAATGCTGTGGGATTGTTGTTAGAGATTAAGAGAAGTGGAGCAGGAGGTGGAGGAGAGGACCCGTAGCTGAGGGCTCAGGGGATGGCTGAGGTTTGGAGCAGCAGAGGTTTGGATGAACAATGCCAATCCAGGGATTGGGATTCAGGAGCAGGGTCTGTCCCAGGGAGAGGACCCTGCGTGGTCGTTGGCACTGCTGCCTCTCCATCAAGGCCGATATGTGAGATGGGTGTGTTCTGCATGGCTCCAAAACTCTAATAAATACATTTCCTCCCCAGTCTTCAAGCTGTTGGGTGTTCCTTGCTTTTGGGAGGTGCTTTAAATCCGACTGCCAGAGCCGTGGGCTGCTGAGAGCAGAAGCTGCCTGCACGATGCTGAGCTCAGGTCTTCCTCCCGTTCTCCTGGTGCTCTCAGTGCTGGAGCTGAGCTGGTGCCTGAGTGATGAAGAAAAGAAGATCATCGTGGATGAGCATAATAAATATCGCTCCCAGGTCTCTCCTCCTGCCCAGGCTATGATGAAGATGGTAAGTGGCTTTTATTAGAGAGGAATATTGGGGTGTTTGTGTGGTCCAAGGCTCGATCTTAATGCAAGGAGGGGTCAGGGAGTTCCTTAGGGGAGGCAGAGCAAATCTCATCTAGGGTTACAAGCAGTTGTTAAAGGAGGGATTTCCAAAACTGCCTCTGTAGAGAAGAGTTTCCTTTACCTTTGGAGTTGTCTTTGATCATTTTCTGGAAGTTCCTAAGCATGATGTGAGTCCCCAGATGCTCTTCCATGAGAGTGGTGCAGCTCTCACTCACAGGAGTGCCTGCTGGAGCCCCCTGTGATGGCAGGAAGGGCAGGTGAGACCCTGCCATGAGCAGGTGCCATGACCTGGAGACTTGGCCATGGTTTTCCAAGAGGTGAAAAGAGGGAATCCTGCTATGTGGGACATCACACACTGCTCTGTATTCGCCTTTGCAGGTGAAGGTGCTTTTGTCTTTTGGAGGGAATGTCAGCTTATCAGTCAAGGTCTTTAAGTTATTTGGGTTTATCACACTCCTAATCCTCACCATGACTTGGTGTCTTGGAGATGCAGGATCCCCTATTTTGCTTGGGGAAATCAAGTCAGGTCAGCAGAGGGACCTGTAGTAGGACCTAAAACAAGCTTGGTGCTGGTGCTGCTTTTTGTCTTGCTCAGACTCTTGATTTGATTAGAACTTGGCTATGAAGTTTTATCTTGCACCACATGTGATTTTTCCTCACTGTTTGCAAATCCCACAGAGAAGGACATTTGTTTATCATGGAGAGTTGGAGTCCTTTCCTCTTTGGGTCACAGTGTGCTTGGAGGACACCTCCCTGCCTGGCCCAGAAGTTGCCCAAAATGTGTGAAACTTTTATGGGCTGGTAAATGGGAGCTTAACAATTAGAAGAAGCAAAAAGTTAAACTCAGGGAGAGGAGACCTGAGCAGTGACTGCAGAATCAAAGGTGACAGAGCCAGAACCCTCAGCACTGTGATCCCATGGAACCCACCAGGCACAGCAAACTCAGAGTATCAGGGCTTTGGAGCCAAAGTCTTAGAGAAAGCCTGAGGGAAATGATCTCTTAGGGCCCTTAAGTCAATTCCAAACCTGTAGGGGCTGCTCCTGGCTGAATCTTTGATTGCAGCCTCTGTGCTTTGAGGTGCTCTCTTTGCAGCTTCTGCTCCTGCTTGAACACTCAGGACCTGCTCTTGGTCTGGGTCCAAAGGCTTTTTCCTTTTGAAGCCCAGCAAATGTTTAGCTCACAGCAGCCCTGACGATTCCTCAGCAGAGGTTTTCCATGAGAACACCGTCCTCACCTCCCTCCTGGGACCTTTGCTTGGGCTGAGTTTGCTCTGGATTCACCTGCTGCCGTGGCACCGTGCCTGGCTGAGGTCACTCCGTGCTTCCTTTTGGGACATGGGGCTGCTTGCTTTGGAAATATTTAGTTGAAGGGAGGGAATCTGTAGCCTAAAGCCCCTCTGCTAATGAGGCAAATCTGCAGGTGTGAGTCCCCGTTTATGGAGCCCAGCTCTGTGCCAGAGGGAGAGGGGTGTGTGCTCCCCAAATTGGGTCTCTGTCAGCGTGGCTTGGGGCCATGGTGGGAGCTGAACCAACACTCTGTGTCCCATCCAGGTGTTTCCTCCCCCAGTGCCTTCAGGCCTGTCCTCATCCCCTCAACACGCCAGTGGTGCCGTGCCCTCCTGTCTGGCACCTTTTGGATCCAGCCCTGGCTCTGTCCAGGTTCCCCCAGGACCCTGTTTGCAGGGCCAAGCTGCTCTCTCCATCAAGGATGGTCCAAACAGCTGCAGTGCAGGATTCTCCATATGAGAAAAGGATTTCCCCCTGTGAGAAAAGCTCTCCTCCTCCTCCTCCTCCTCCTCCTCCTCCTCCTCCTCCTCCTCCTGCACATCCCTGTGGCCAGGGGCTCAGCTGGTGTCGGGGCTCCTGGCTGGCGGCCACGTCTCAGTTCCAGACAAACAGATGATGTTTCCAGGAGCCTGTGCTCCCAGGCTTTGTTCAGCTGCCAGGAGAGATGTGTCCCATTGCCCTCCTCCTGTCCCCACCCTGGGTGAGGAGGGATGGCCCCAGACCCCTCTGGTGTGACCCACAGTGGGTTTCCTTCTTTATTCCATGACTTCATGATGTCTCCACGCTGAGTTGAGGATGGTCCATGATGGTGTTAGATGAGCTCCAGGAGAGGCTGTGAGAGTTCTCCAGTTTGACCCATAAGCCAAGGTTCAGTTTGTGCTGGGACTGACCATGGAGCTCCCCTCTCCTGAGAACTGTGCTGGGCAGGGGTTTGAATTTTCCTCATGCATGGGGAAACTTTGGCCAGACAGGGCAGGGGTCCTTGGTGGGTGCCTTGTTCCTGTTGGAGAGCCCAGTGTCCCTCCCTGTGTGCTGACACCAAGCCCCTTTCAGACCTGGGACAAGGAGCTGGAGGCCCTTGCTCAATCCTATGCAGAGAAATGCATCTGGGACCACAACAAGGAGAGAGGCCGACGGGGAGAAAACCTCTTTGCCATGGCCCCAACGCTGGAACTGGAATTCGCCGTGGAAGACTGGAACGGGGAGGAGAAATTCTACAACTTCACAACATCCACGTGTGTCCCCGGGCAGATGTGTGGCCACTACACCCAGGTACAGCTGCTGGGGTGGAGGGGTGGCTGCTCAGCACAGCTGGGTGAAGGATTTTCTCAGAAAGATGAAGTCTGAGTGTTTCTTCACAGCCTGGGTAGGAGCAGAGAGGGTGGTGTGTCGCTATAGGACACCAAAGAACACAAGCTCACACCGCTGTTCTCAAGGTGAAGGAAAAGGGAAGTTTATTTTCTGACTCCAACATTTACAGTTTTCCAAAAGTGACAGTGGATTGGAGGGTGGCAGTGCCACCTCTCCAATGACACTGGACAAACCAACTGTCCAACAACTTTCTCTTCCTCCATAAAGGAATGCAAAACAATCAGTTATTTACAGAAAGTGTGTGTGATAAAGTTCGCTACAAGAATGTCAACATCAGAAGGCTTAGAAAAATCTTTAAAAAATCAGGGTGACAGTGGTGGATCCTGAATGCCAAAGCAATATGGGGATGTGGGATGTGGGGCATACTCTGTGGGATGAGGAGATCTTTGGAGCAGCCTTTAAGGCCAGGGGACAGGTTGCCTTCACCCAGTCCCCTCACCTCCACCCTGCTCTTTGCCTTAGGTGGTGTGGTCAAGCACACATCAGATCGGCTGCGGGGCACATTTCTGTGAGAAGATTGATGGGATTGAAACAGAGAACATGCACCTGCTGGTCTGCAACTATTATCCCCCGTAAGTCCCAGCCCCTGCATGGATTGTTGCATCTCAGTGGGGTTTCTGTGCTGGAAATGCCCTCATGTCACAGCAGGGTTTGTCCTTGGTCAGAAATAAAAGTTCCAAATAGTGCTGCTGTTATCTTGGGTTGGTCCCAGACTAAGGAAGGGTTGTCTGGAGATCCCGGCCCATTATTGTGACTCTGAGTGCTGGTTCAGCTCCTGGAACACACCCAGGGAGGGACCTTCTTCCCCAAGAGCTGCTCAAGGCTGAGGTGGCAGTAGCTGAGGGTACAAACCCTCCCCTGCCCTGGGCCTGGTTCTTCCCAGCTGGCAGCAGCCAATCCCTGGGTGCCTTTTGCAGCAGCAGGAAGGGTTGGATGTGGGAGGAGAGCTGGGTACCCCTTCCCAGCCCTGGGACCAGCCTTGGCACCACTGGCTTGGAGCTGCTGAGAGCACCAAGGGTGGCCGGTGGCTGCAGACCCTCCTGGGGTCTGGAGCAGAAGTGAGACAGAATTCCCTGTCCCAATGTCCATCCCCTGCTCTGTTCTAAGGGGTCAGGGATCTGCTCATCCCCCAGAGTTGTCTGCCCTGGCTTTATCTGCCTTGGGGTCAGGCTGGTGAGTAAACAGCCCTGACAGGCCGTGGCAGGAGACCAAGACCTGTTTTCTACATTAATCCCTAGTTTTGCCTTGGCTGGGATATCCCAGCTGAATCAGCCCCCTCTCTGGGATGGGTGTTTCCCCTCTCCTCATGTCTCCTTTTGTTGCAGTGTGATGCAGTCGCCTGTCTCGATTGTCCCGGTTCTTTCCGGGGTGTGCCAACAACCTCTCCCTTCCCCTCCCTTGCCCCTTGCTGAGTGCTGTCCATCAATCTTGGCATTCCAACAGAACAGAGAACCCCGTGGTTGCTGTTCCTTTGAACCCCAGGGAGAGGGGCAGGGAACGGGTAGGGATCCCACTGTGACCGTGTTCACAGGGGCTTTCAGGTGAGGGAAGAGACGAGAATGTTGACTGCATGTTTCAGAAGGCTTGATTTACTATTTTATCATATATATATTACATTAAAACCATACTAAAAAGAATAGAAGGAAAAGTTTCATCTCAGAAGGCTAGCTAAGCTAAGAATAGAAAGGAATGAATAGGTTTGTGTCTTGGACAAAGTGTCTTGGACAGTCCAAGCTAACTGGGCTGTGATTGGCCATTAATTATAAATATCCAACATAGGCCAGTCACAGATGCACCTGTTGCATTCCACAGCAGCAGATAATCATTTTGTTCCTGAGGCCTCTCAGCTTCTCAGGAAGAAAAATCCTAAGAAAGGATTTTTAATGAAAAGATGTCTGCGACATTGCACCAACCAGGTAAGGGGGGAAAGGTCTCAGGGGACAAATGACCCCTGGATGGCTCAATGTCCCCAGGGCTGAGAGGCATCTTTTGAACTTCGCCAATCACACAATGCCCTTTCTGGGATGCCAAGACTGAGGGACAGCACTCAGCAGGGGCAAGGGAGGGGAAGGGAGATGTTGTTGGCACACCTGGGGAAAGAACTGGGATGACTGAAACAGGCTATTACATCACACTGCAACGTTCTTTATCTTGGCATTTTCTGCTTCCAGGGGTAACATGAAAGGCAAGAAGCCCTACGTGGAAGGACCCTCGTGTAAAATGTGTCCCAGGGGCACAGTCTGTGTGAACAACCTGTGTGGTGAGTGAGCAGAGCCATGCATGGCCCTGGGGGGGATGTTGGGACTGAGACCCTGGGCTGGTCTGAGCTCTGAACCCTCCCAGAGCTGTCAGGAACTGCAGTTCCAGAGCTGGACCATGAGACAGAACAACTACCTCAAGATAAGGAGGGGCTTGTACCCTGATAGGCAGCATTATTTGCCCCTTGCATGGCAGGAGGTTGTGAGGGCCATGAGATGTCTCCAGGTTGGGAACCCCAGAGTGGGGGATGGCCCAGAGTGACCTGAGAGGGGTCAGCTGCTGTTTCAGCCCCTCGTTGGTTTCTGCTGGTCCTGCTCAGTGCAGGGGATCCATTGAGGTGAGCTGAGCCAGCCCTAACCCACAGCACTTTTCATCTCTCACCAGAACTCGTTGTAGAAGAGACCACTCCGGCCTCTGTGACAACAAAGGCAAGGCCATCCACCCCAGGCACAGCCAAACCAGAGCCCACAGCCAAAACAGAGCCCACAGCCAAACCTGAACCCTCAGGCACAGCCAAACCAGAGCCCACAGCCAAAACAGAGCCCACAGCCAAAACAGAGCCCACAGCCAAACCTGAACCCACAGCCAAACCAGAGCCCACAGCCAAACCTGAACCCTCAGGCACAGCCAAACCAGAGCCCACAGCCAAACCAGAGCCCACAGCTAAAACAGAGCCCACAGCCAAACCTGAACCCTCAGGCACAGCCAAACCAGAGCCCACAGCCAAAACAGAGCCCACAGCCAAACCTGAACCCTCAGGCACAGCCAAACCAGAGCCCACAGCCAAAACAGAGCCCACAGCCAAACCTGAACCCACAGCCAAACCAGAGCCCACAGCCAAACCAGAGCCCACAGCCAAACCTGAACCCACAGCCAAAACAGAGCCCACAGCCAAAACAGAGCCCACAGCCAAACCAGAGCCCACAGCCAAAACAGAGCCCACAGCCACACCAGAACCTAAAGCCAAACCTGAACCCACAACCACAGTCAAACCAGAGCCTAAAGCCAAACCAGAGCCCACAGCACCATTTCACACCACAGCTGAACCAGAACCCACATCAGCATCCACCACAGCCAAACCAGCACCTATAACACCAGTTCACACCAGAGCAAAACCTGAACCCTCTCCAGTGTCCACCACAGCCAAATCTGAGCCCAAAAAACCAGTGTCTACCACAGCCAAGCCCAAACCCACAGCCCCACTCCCAACAACCCCAGCCAGGCCAAAACCCACCACAGCAGCAGCCACCACAGCCATGGCCAAGCCAAAACCCACCGTGCCAGCAGCCACTAGCACTGCAGCCAAGCCAAAGCCCACCACAACGGTGGCCAGGCCAACTCCCACCACACCAAAACCCAGCCTAACAACCACTGCCACTAAGCCAACAACCACCACTACCACCAAGACAACACCCACCCCCCTGAAACCCACCACAGCAAACACTACCACCAAACCAACACCCACCACAACCACAACCACCACCAAACCAACACCCACCACAACCGCCACCAAACCAACACCCACCACACCAAACCCCACCACAACCACCCCTACATCCAAGCCAAAGCCCACCACAACTATGGCCAAGCCAACACCCACCACACCAAAATCCACCCCAACTGCAGCTAAGCCAAAACTTGCTGCAGCCACAGTCAAACCAACACCCACCACCCCAACATCCACCACCACCACAGCCAAGCCAGCACCTGCTGCTACCACACCAGCACCTGCCACAACAGCAAAGACTCAACTGAAAACTGCCACAACCACAAAGCCAGAACCAGAAAGGCCTGATCCTACTGAGGCAGCCAAGATCACTCTTTCCTTTGAGCCCACCTTAGACCCAGATTATAAAGTATCTCCAGAGGCAGACACTGGAGAGCCTCTTAGCTCCTTCACTACAGAGGATCCAGCTTCATTAGAAAGCATGGGCACGGCCTTCAGCCCCAGATCAGTCCCAGAAATAAAGAAAGGTGTCAAAGAGCATGAGGAGGAGAAATCAGCCTTTCCCAGCCCATCTCTATCCCTCAGCCACCCTGCTCCAGAGATGAAGCTAGGTTCCAATAGAGCTGAGCTCATAACCCCCTCCAAGTCAGTGGTCCTCAGCCCTGAAGAGCCCACGTTCTTGCGCTTAACATCATCCTCCAAAGACAAAAAAGGGCCAAGCCCCCATTTCCAGACCTCCCTCTCAGGTAAGGCGACCGTGGAGTTTGCCCTGGCATGGACACTTGGACATTTAGGGATCCCCAAGCAGCATGGAGAGGGCTTGGGAGGAGCAGTGTCACACTGGTCCTTTGGATCCTCCTGTTGTATGTGGCACCAAGCCTTTCCCTCACTCTGCTCTAACCCTGAGGGGCTGTTGGATGTCCCGTCCCTGCAGCATGGTCCCGTTCACAGCCTGCTCCCACTAACGCACAGCTTCCCTGGACAGAGCTCTGCTGCCTCACGGAGCACGTCATGGCACACCTGCATGAGTGGGAGCTTCTCCTCTGCCAGATCCTCACCTCTAACCCCACATTCTCCTCTCTTCTTCCAGCAGGTGCCCTGGACACAGAACTGGAGACAAACTCGGACCAGACAAGTGTGGATCGGCCCAAAGGAGGAGCCCCCAGTACCTGCCTGGGCCTTTCGCTCTTCCTCCTCCTCCCCAGTGCCATCCTGGTGGGCCTTCTGCTCTGAAGGGTCTTCCTCAGCTCTCCCTGCACCCTCACCAAGGCTTTTGTCAGCGCTGGTTGTTCCACAGCCCTGGCAGGCTCAGGAGCTCCTTGGACCATTCCCGCGCTCCCTCCTTGCGCTGCCTGCTCTGCTGCAGCCCCAGAGAGCCAAGGGCAGCTGATGCTGGGGGAGCTTTGTCCCCTTCCTGAGGAGACTTGAGGGCAGGAGGGTGTTTGCCATAATGCTGGTGACTTGGATGCTTCTCCTTTTTCCTGGCTTCTGTTCTGTTTCCAGGCTGGAAGTGTTGAGCTCCCCCACTTACCCACAAACCCATATGGCTGACCCTGGGGACAGCAGGGTGACTTGGGGACAGTGAGACATGGTGGTTGGCTTTGGTGTTTGTAGATGAGACACAGTGGTTGGCTTTGGTGGTTTTCCCAGCAGAAACGGTCTTTTCTTTCCCAATGTATCCGTCTCAGTTTTGGACAAGTGTTACCTCTTTCCCTTCTTGTCCAAACAGAATTGAGGATTTCTGTTTCCTCCTGGTTCTGGTGGAGCTCTGGCCAGTACTGCCCAGCTGTTCTCCCCTCTCCTCCTCCATTCTGCAGCCCTTGCCTCCTCCCAAGATTCATTTTACGCCTGTGCCTGCACCTGTGTGCACACACAGAAGAGAAACCTTCACAGCTGAGAGGGGCCACCAGCTCCTTCATGTAGCTTTTCCCTGTATGGCTTCATTCTTTGCATAATTTCAGTGTATTTTATTTTAGATACAGATTCCTCTTGACGTGTAACTTGTGTGTGTGTGTTGTCAAGGAGAGCAAGTCCCCACTTGTGTTGGTACAATCTGAGCTCCAGAGGTACAAGTGACACTGTTAGAGGTTATTGGTGGCTCCTGGGCCTGTTGCAGGACCACTGGCATTGTTTGGGCCACTGTGTTTTGTTTTTGTTTGTCTCTCCTCCCTTCACCTGAGGATTCCCAGTCAGGTCTGTTAAATATGTGCCAAGCTTTGCTGACAGATGGAAGGAAGATAATGGGGAGATGCAGCCCCTGCTCTGGTCATTGCAACCTTTCATTTCTTACACATGAGGTGGAGGATGACCTGAAGGCCATTATTCACCTCCTCCACTGCTGTTCTGTCCTGTGCATCTCCAGAGCATGCACTGAATAAATCCTGTTGTGAAAATCTGTTCACTCTCTCTCTCTGGGGGATCTGCACACCTGGGAGCTGCTTACTATTAAAAATGCTCTTAATTATGTGCTCACACAGAACTCCTAAAAGACAACATGACTTCTGTGGGTCCTGAAGGGGTTTTTTGGCTTTTCAAAAGCATCCATGTGCTGCCTTTTGTAAGGGTGTAACTTAAAGTTTTTAAACCTTTGTAAAAGCAGCAGGAGGCCATGGGGATTGGGGATGACGTAGGGAATTTTTCTTGAGCATCCAGCTGAGTGTAAAGTAAAAATGTGTCCTCACCAGGAATTCTTGGGCAAGGGAAGCAAGAGAAAAAGAGCTCAGAGCTAAACAAGAAATAAAAACTATGGCTGGAGCACATCTGGTTCCCTGTTTTAGGAAGCCTCTCGCACCCTAAACACAATTTCTTCTTTGCAGCACAGAAAAAAGTTAAATTCCAAGTGTGGGCCCCCAGATTCTGTTTTTGCAGTGTTTTCACATCAGAACATCCATGTGGGAGCAGCATAAGGGGCAAGGACCTTGAGAGGCAGAATCAGCACTGCAGTGATGCTGGTATCTGACTTTGCTTTTTGCTCTTCCCCATCCTCCTGCCCCTGCTTTTCCCAGCAGAGCTGTCCTGCAGCTCCTCATTCCCCTTGTCCTGAGGCTCTCATTCCCCTTGTGCCTCATTCCCCTTGTCCCCAGCCCCTCTGTAGGAGCCGGGCAGAGCTCTGAGCCCAGCCCAGCCCAGCCAGGAGGTGACCAGCAGATGGCACTGGGAGAGGCACCGCTGAGAACTGGGCACATCTACTCACCCCTGCCCACAGTGCCGAGCTTTATTTCATTGCCAGCCTCAGGTGTGGTTAAGATCAGATTAGAAATAACCTCGTGCCCAGGTGCTGTGGATGCTTCTTATCTCCTGCTGCCACTCCCTTGGGGGAGAAATCCATCCCTGCCTTGTGGACAGATGATAAAAACACAGCCCCAGAGGCTGCAACTCAGCCCTGTGAGGGGAGAGGGCTCGGAGCTGGGACAGCATCTCAGGACCTCGTCTGCTTTTGCATCTGACTGAAGGGCAGTGTGGCATTCCCCAAAAGTTCCCTAGAAACACCACCAGGAACAGAAAAACATTTCTCCTCCCAGCAAGATCAGGGCACTCAGGCAAGCCCTGATTTTGTTTCAGTGCTGGATCCTCACCCTGCTGAGAGCCATCAGGCACAACACTGTGCTGATTATCAGGCACCAACAGAATTCCAGGATTGCAGTGTTTTATCACTGGTGTGGGGCTGTGAAAACCCTTGAGTTTTGTTTTCCTGGAGGTTTTGACTTGTGGGGACAGGCTGTTGTGCAAGGGCCTATTTATAGAGATCCTTGCAGCAGCAAACTCCAAGCCAGAAGGAAATCCGCTTTCCTCTTGCCCTGCTCCCCGGGACAGCAGGGCTGAGCCTGCCCACACAGGCATTTGGGGGCTTGGCTTCAGGGTGAATTTGGGGCTTTAGGCCAGGATAGAGTTTGGTGTGGTGCACAGAAACATTCAAGGGAGACTTTTGCAGCATTTCAACTCAATTTCTAGGATTGGTGTAAAGGGGATTCTGGCACTGGGGTGACCCTGGCAGAGATTCTGTCAGGTTCTTACATCCTTATGGCCCTTTTTTCTGGGAAGAGGAGAAGGCATTACCCACCAGCTGTGCTGCTTGGTGTCAAATGGAGGCATTTGTGGTGTTTGTGAGGCCTGGCTTCTTTATGAACCTCACCTGCTGGGTTCCCTCCATCCCAGGGCCTGTTTCCAGCAGGGACAGGGAGGTGTTTGCTGCTGGATGAGGGAGAGGAGCATCCTTTGCTTCAGCTCCTGGATCTCTCATGAATGCAGTGGGTCAGAAGGGTTGGGGTGAGCACCCTACATCCTGCTGGGTATTTGGGGTTATGCTGCTGGCAGTTCCATCCAGCTTCCAAGCACTCCTTCAGAGTGTTTGGGCTGAAAGTGCTGTCGTTCCTCAATGTCCTGTGAGGGTCTGGGGACAACCCTCCTTTCCTGATCTTGCTGCCTGGCTGCTTTTTGCTAAAAGGAAGTGCCCATTCCTGCCTGGCATTGTAGTCAGGGATGATGTGACTGCCTCAGTGTGCTGTGGGATCCTGGCTGGTGAGTCAGGTTTGTGTCCCACAGATCCATGGGTGTGCGCTCAGCCAGGCTGGTCACCCTCCTCCTGGGCAAAGCTGCCCCTTCCTTTGTGCCAGGATCCATTGGAGCAATTAAACATTACCTGGGCTGGTTTCTTGGCCCTTGAGGGGATTTATATTTGGGTTAGTGAACCTGTGTTCTCCTCTGGCTGGTGTACACATTATAAACATGTTTATAGCAAGGACGATCCAGGGCAGAGGGAAGCCCAACCTGCAACCCTTGATCTGACTGAGGGTGAGGAAGCAGGTCAGGCTTTGTGTAAGAGTTGTGCTGAGAATTTGTGTCAGGAAAGCACCTGCTGACAGCCACACACATGGTCCCAGCTGCTTGGCCAGCGCAGTCTGCCCCACATCCTCATCTTGTTTGTGGCTTCCCTTTCACACCCAGGATTTTGGTCAGTCAGGAACAGTGATCACCCCTCAAGAGGTCCCAATTCACCAGCCAAGCTCACTTCAGGGCAATAAAAAGACTCAGTTTTAAAAAAGTCAAACCAAGTTTATTTTCACGAGGGAATACCTCCAGTAATATTTTATTCATGGCTTCCAGCTCACACAGTTCCACTGTTTGAGATTCTCTGAGTTAATACCAATGCCATGGAGGGGGACTGAACAGAATCCATCTGGGACATGTGGGATTAGCTCTTTTCCAGGGGACACCTCTCCAGACGAAGTGGATCTGCTGCTCTGTTCCCATCCTTGTGCTGCTATTTTGGAACCTTCCAGGCAATCTGTGGGCAGAAGCCCTGCCCCTGAGCAAGCAGCTGGAGGATAATAATGCAGCTCAGAGCACCAAGCTGTAGTTTTTTGCACAGCAAGTGGCCGGGACTGCTGAAAAGCCAGATTTATGGAGAGAGGGCTGCATTCCTTCTGTGCTCGGAGCTGCAGCATCCACACCCAGCAGCTGCAGCTCCGCCCTGTCCCAGCAGAGGGGCCTGAAATTCTGCTTCATCCTGGGGACTCCAGCAGCCAGCTCTGGCTCTCCCTGAGCCTCTGAAATGGGAGGGCTCCAATTTCTCTGTGCTCTCTCCCTCCCATTTCATCTGAGAAGGTGTCCTCTGCTTGCCCTCGCTCCCCAGTCTCGGGTCTCACAGTCTCCCTGGCACTGAGATGCTCGTGATAATGGCCTGAAATGTCCTTCCTGGTGCAGCCCTGATCGGGTTACAGCTCTACTTCTGCTCCTGATCCTACTCACTCTGGAAAACGGCAGAGGGATCGTCCCATCTGCTCGTAAGAAACCAGAATTAACAGTTCCCTGTCCCTTGCCAAGGGCCAGAGCTCTGAGCAATGATGACTTCTCTCATGTCTGTTGTCAGGGCGAACCCAGGAGGATGAGAACCTGCTCCTTCTGCCTCTGTCTCTTCCTTACCTGTCTCCACTTCAGGAGATTGATTTTAGTTGGAATCATTGGTTCACCCTATGTAAACACCCAAGAGCCCCAAAATTCCCTGACGGGGTTTGCATGTGAGGGAGTTCAGTTGATAAGGGATTATCAGATCAGAAAGAACCACCCTCTGACTCTGTTCCATGGGACAGGCTGGGAACTTGTCCAAAACCAAATGTACTTCCTGAGCAGGGGCCAAGCAGCCAAATCTGATCAGCTCCCAGGGCTCTGAGTCCACAGGCTGAGCTTGGCCCTGGCTCTGCTTCTGAACCCAAACTTCAGAACTGGGCACAAAAACATGAAATAATTAACTCACATCTGTCCCATTTAAACAAAAGTATCTGCTCCCCTCCAGACCTGAAAAGATCAACACATTTAAACACTTTACAACTTGAATCCATCTCCTGCAAAAAAAAAAAAAAAAAAAAAAAAAAAAAAAAAAAAAAAAAAAAAAAAAAAAAAAAAAAAGAATAGAATTGAACACTGAGCTGCTGTGCACAGACTCATTTCCCTGGTTCTCTGGAATCTTAGAGAAGTGGGTTTCCTGGAAGCAGGTGGCTCCATGCTCCAGTGCCTGAGGCATGAAGCAATTCCTGGAAGAATGCAATTCTGGATGCTGTAAGAGAAACACCCACTGAGCTGTTTAACAATGCCATGCTGCTTTTTTGGATCCTCAACAAAAGAAGCGATGATGCCTCGGGAGCTCCTCCGTGGTTTTGCTGCTCTTTAAGGAAGGCAATAGACTGTATAGTTATCACCTGAAATGGGATCAAATCCCTCCCACCAAACTATACAACCTACTACCTCACCTCCACAGAGCAGAACAGACGGGTCACAGGCAGGGATTTGCTTTCCTGGCACCACCTGCCCCACAGCTGGTGTAGAAGTGGACGAGCAGAGCTGAAGACCTGACTGTCTCCTTAGGAAAGACAGTAGATTGTATAGTTAGCTCAGAGGGAGGACCAGACTCCACAACTATTCAATCTACTACCTCAGCCTCAAGGACAGCTTGGGACTGTGGCAGCCTAAGGCACTGGGATGATCTTTATCCAGGCTATGAGATGATCCTTATCCAGACACTGAGATGATTCTTATCCATGCACTGAGATGATCCTTATCCAGGCACTGAGATGATCCTTATCCAGACACTGGGATGGTCTTTATCCAGGCTATGAGATTATTCTTTTCCAGGCACTAGAGATGATTCTTATCCAGGCACTGAGATGATTTTTATCCAGGCACTAAGATCATCCTTATCCAGGCACTAGGATGAGCCTTATCCAGGCATTGGCTGCTCCACAGGTCCTGCAAGAAGGAATGCATGAAAAATCAGAATTCTTGATGGCAGGGGAGAGGACTCATATCCAGCCTTGTCCTGGAGCTCCTTCTCCTTCTTCAAACCCTCTTCAGCCCACTTGGACTGTACCTTGTGCTTGGCAATCACACCAGCTGCAGACTTTGTGCACCCAGGGGTGCAGAGAAGCAGCAGCCCTGCCCTTGGAACCTGGGGCTGCACATGGAGATAGCAGAGCTCTCGGGAAGCTGCAGCAGCGCCAAGCACACCCAGCCAGGCTGACCTCACCTCCTGAACACACAGCATATCTAGAACAAACCTGCCAGACCAGATAAGAGAATCCATCAATTTAGCTCCCTGTGCACTCCAGGGAATTGAGCAGATTAGAAATAACTAAGTACAAGGAAGCTTTTAGGCTGCAAATGTAATGGTATCGAGTACATCAAGGCAGATCTTATTTCCTAAACAAATGAGTGCAACATGCAGCCGTGCTGTCCCTCTAATGCTGCAGCCCAGCCAAGCAGTATTAGCATGGATCTGAGACAGACTGGCTTCCCCCCAAGCCCTTGGCTCACCTTCTGAGGCTTCTTCATTCTCTGCACACCCAAATACAGAGGCGAGGTATTAATCTGGGAGTTTGAAAGGAACGTGTGAGGCTCTTTTGCAAGGAGAAGAAAGAATTCCCCTTGGAGATGAAAGAGGCCCTAACGACGAGGGAGCCACGCCAAGCAGGCTGCATGTGCAGCCCAGCACAGCCCCAAAGGACAACTTCCCATGGGAGCTCAGCAGGAGATGTCCCAGCCTCCACAAGCATCTGCTGAGCGCTGTGCTGGGAGAGGAGGGGGCTCAGGGAGAAGTTTCCAAAGGGATAAAAGCTGCCTAATGCTTTGTGCTTCCACAGCTACCAGGCAACAGGCTAAATAATCCCAAAGCTTCGGTCAGCTACTGCAGCTGGAATCCTTGGGAGAGTTTAGGGTGGCCTCAGGTGCAAGGGTGTCTCTGCAGCAGGGGTGGGAAGTGCCCTCTCCCAGAGCTCTCCACGGGCTCTCCTCAGTGGCATTCAGCACAGGTAATTCTCTTAATTTCCTGTGCCAAACTGGTCCTTGACAGGGAGTGACCCACTGTGCTGGACCATCTGGCCCAGGCCTGTCCTGCTGTAACAGGGCATGAACAACATCAAACCCCAACGTGGCAGAACTGGATCCTACAGCACCAGAGTGCCCAGCCCATCCCTGGTGCCAAGTGCATCCCAAACAGCCTCCTGATGGGAAATGCTCTTTGTCCTGGTTTTATCAGCACAGACAGTGATGCACAGGGGTTGCACATCCCTCCTCAACCAGACAGAGCTGAGGTGAGGTGACAGCCAGGCTTTGGGGTCCATCAGGTCTGTCACTGCTCAGCTCCTTGGGGACAGAAGGGATAGTTTAAACCAAAATGTTTCACCTTCCCAAAAATTAAGCTGCTGCCACAAGCATCAAGCAGAAGGGTGGCAAGAAAACCACCAGATGCTGCACTGGTCAGGGACTGGGAGGGTGGGTGGTGTAGATGACTGCTGGGGGATGCAGAGAGGCAGAGGATGCTTGCCTTCTCCAAGGAGACTTCTAGCAACTTGCCTGGAGGAATAATTTTTCCTAGTTCCCAATCTGGTGGTTTTTATTACTTTAACCACATAAGCCAGATGTATCAGGCTGGCATTTCAAAGGTCACTCTTGATACCATTGCAGACAACAGGCATTTGGGCCAATCTCAAACTGTTGGTGGAAAATTACATTAAATAACTCTGAGCTCACATAGATGTAATTATACATGGAGAGAGGGAAAAAAATCCCTTCTGACTTCTATAAGTAAACCTGAAAACAGAAGACTTAATTATAATAATTGTCTTAATGAGTATAGGTTTTGGGAATACCCAGCTGCTGACTCTGGAATCCTGATTTTAGCAGGATCTGTGAAGAAAAGAGTCAAACAGGAGGATTTATGGATCAAACAGGGGGATTTTTTATGCCCAGTAAGGATGACTAAGAGCATCCTTCCCTCAGTATCACTGTCACACTTGTTTGTCCTACACAAATTGCAATGACAGGAATTCCCTCTCCTCATGGCCTGAGGTCTAAACCATCAAGACAAAAGACAAGGAAGGAAGGAGACCTGCCCAAATTTGCCTGGATGCAGCTATGCAAAATTCTGGATAAAACAGCCAACAGGGTCTGCAGGGCACAGAGACCCACACCCAAAGCTTCTCACTGCCCTCTGAGATTAAACCCAGTTTTGAAAGATTATTGGATCCTTGATTGCCAAGAACCTCTTCAAAAAACACCACTTTCTGTGCAGGCCTTAAGGCAGTGACCTTGTAATTTCCACTTTCCAGATTCATAGGAATCCCTCAAAATTGATCAAATCTGATTTCTGTGAAAACACTTCATAGGTTTCTGCAAGCCACTGTACAAAGGTCCCTGTGCACAGAGTGTGTCACTACATGGTCCCACTGTCTACAGGTGCTTGGAGGGGTGAGGAAAATTGGGAGGTAAAGGGTTTTTTTTCACAACAAGATCCTCCAGGCTGCAATAAAAATGGCACTTGCAGTCCAGCTTTCAGACTTGTTTTTGGGATCCAAGTGACCTAAACTGCTCCTCATTTATCAGGGCTTGGGGTGGCTTGTGATGGCTCCAGCAGAAAACCCAAGATGCTGTCCCCCAAATTTTGAAACATCTTTGCCCCAGAGATTGCTGAGCACGGCCAAGTGTCTGCATTTAAAAGGAGCCCACCTCGGAGAGGAGCTGGAAAGGCTCCGAAGCCTGGAGGAGCTGATCTGGTTCATTAAGGAGCACTGAATGAAATGGAGGAGGGGGGAGGAGGAAACCAGAAAACAACAAAGTCTCTGCTTTAAAAGCTGACACCACTTTCAGCCTTTGTGTCGGTGCCGAAACGTGCCAGGCACAGGGAGGGTTTCTCAGTGGGAAATCAGGACCCTGAGTGTCCAGGAGGATTTTCAGCCTCCCGGAGCTGGGGCAGAAGCAGCCCTGGCTCCCTGGAACGGCGGCGGTGGCACAAAATGGCCGAGTGTGGCCATTTTGTTCCCTTGGCTTCGTGTCCTCCCAACCTGGCTGGAAAAACAAAAACCCAAACAGACCAAAATAAAAAATTAAAAAAAAAAAAAAAAAAAAACCAAAAATAAGCAAAAAGAAGGGTGGAAGGTTTTCAGTAACTCCCCAGTATTGTGGGGACCCACAGCGCCAATTGGAGGTGCCGATCCGGGCGGCAGCGAGGAACCCGCTCGCACAAAAAGCAGAAAACAACCCAAAAACCCCATCTTGGACACACCCTGTGCCACGGGAAAGCAATAAAAAATTACATTTGCCAAACTAGCCCATGAAGACAAGTTGTTTATAACTTCTCCCAGGCCAGGAAAGCCTCTCAGCAAAGCAAGGCCAACCACCTTCACAAACACCCCATCCTAAAGTCAATATTAAATATCAGACTTTGAAACAATTAATCAAAGATACCATGAATAGGGAGAGAGAAATGGAAGTAAAAATATTTACAGTTCAATGCTGCAACAGCCCATGTCTCTCAGCAATGCTTTTACTCCACACACTTTTAATGACATAGGGAATATTTCACATCAATTTTGTCATTGCATTTATTATTAAGCAATTAGCAGGTATCTTTATAAACAATTGCTCATCACTAAGGGGTTGTCTTGAGTCCTATCAGATGTTTCTAAACATCTGGATCATTATTAATGAATCTGATATTGTTATCTATAATGCAGGCATCTGTAACCTGCTTGTTGTATGACTTATCTTTTATTAACCCTTCATAAACACATTATTAAAGGTGGCTATAAAGGCAATGCTTTTTCTAAATATTTTCCTAAATTTTTCTAAATATTTTCTAAGTATTTTCCTTCTAAATTTGTATATACCTTGCTCTCTCCTGAAGCAAAAAAGTCCCAGAATTTTTGTCATAAATGATAGCCGCTACTGATATTTCACAGCGTAATTTCATTAAATACTAAAAATAAGAAGAAAAAAATATCCTTCAGGCTTATTTTTACCTGTTCTGCACTCAATTCTACAGTCTAACTCAAAAATTGAAAGAAAAACCTCTTTTTTTTTCTGTAATACTCTATAAAACTGGTCTATTAATACTGTTAACCTTCTCAATGTTGAGTTCATAAGCTGCTTATGAAAGGTGTGCAGGTAATGTCCACCTCCAATGTAGATTTGGACCAAAACATTAAATTTGCACCGTGAAGCACCCGCCCAGCCCCTGCCCTTGCAGCCTCGGCTCCGGGACCACCGTGGCCCTGCCATTCTCTCTATTGTCTGTTTGCAAACAAGCCAAGGGGATATGGAGGCAAATCAAATACCTTTCTGTGCAAGGAAAGCCATTTTTTCACCTCTTTCTGCTCTCCTTCCCAGCTCCGCTCTGCAAGTGTCTGCTTCTCTCCACATGTCTGGAAAGCCACTCAAGGAACAGCAGGACGATCATTCCAGCACCTTATCAGAGCCTGATCCCCCCCGTGCCACAGGGCAGGGATCTGCTCCTCAGAGTGTCCACGAACAAAGTGACGTGGCTACTAATGCCAAGACATCCAGGCTACTGAAGGAAATGCAGAATCACTTAAAAAAAAAAAAATCACTTTTATTTGGCGCATGTTCTGGTGTTTTTGCCCTGCTTCTGCGCAAAATTTTACGGTAACGCCACCAAGTTGCTTTAAACTTTCAAGGCGTGTTCCTGTTGATGGTGTTTCTGTTGTGTATCACACCTTAACGTGTGCAGGATACACACAGAGTGCAGTAAACAGCTTGTGAGCACAGTACAGCTCCAGCCTTGGGAGAAAAGCAAGGGCTTAAAAAGCCAAGAACAGCTATTGCTTTAAATATTTAAATTAAGATGTTTTTATTCCTGAGATGAAAACTTTCAAGGCAAGAAGGCAATAAACAAAAAAAAATCCCTAAAAAAATATCCTCCGGATTACATCAGCTAAATCCAGGCAGTGCCAGCTCGGTGGAAAGGTCAGATCCCGTAAGCACCAAAAACAAGAGGACACACAACAGGTTAAAACGCTACCGTCCGGCAGTGACCGGCTCTGGTCATACCAAGCCGATGTGTAAAACCATCCGCCCGTCCAAAAACAAATTAAGACAACAGTGCTCTCTGGTACTTTATAAATCCAGAAGAAAGGAGGGCTGTTTTATTGAATATAGCAAACAAACCTTTCCGTCCGGCTATTCCGTGCAGCCCCGCGGCTCTGCGTGCACCGAGTAGCCCTTACGCTGCTCATACAAAAGCTCAGTTTGGCAATTCCAGGCATTTTCAGTGCTCAACATACGCCAAAACTACCCACTCTCTGCCTCTGCCTTTGGTCTCATTCCAAAATGTCCTTTTTTTTTTTTTTCTCTTTTTTTTTTTTTCTTTCCCTTTCTCTCTCTTGCTACAGCCGGTGCCACGTAGAGACAGGAGAGTTGGGCTCGGACATGGCCGCAGCCTCCAAAAAAGAGCCAAGTCCCAGCGTCCCGGCTTCCCCCTTCCAGACGGGAAACAAAATGGCCATGGAGCAGCCATTTTGTTTGCTGCGGGATGGGAGGGAGAAGGGAAGGGAGGGGAGACGCAGGCCAGGCGGGAAGGATGAGGGGGGAGAGGGGAGGGCGTCGATTCGGCAGGAACCCAAAAGCTCTGCAGCCATGCCCGGGCGCGTCCTCCTTCCTCCTCCACAGCAGGACTGAGCCACAGGGATGGTCACAGGGTTGGTTTTCCAGCCCTCCCAAGATGGTTGAACCGGAGTTGCCCGGCCTGATGTGGGTGACATTTCCCTCCCTGGGCCAGGCTGGCACCTCCATTCCGCCCGTGGGGTCCGGCCCAGCTGCTGCCGGGCTCTGAGAGAGCTCCCGAAGGGAACCGGGCAGGAGAGCGGAAACCAACGCAGCAACGTCAAACTCCTGAACTTCCCTGGGCAGGAAATGGTGTAAATAACACCCGCAGAGAGGGGGAGAGGAACCCGCCTTGGGGACAGCGTGGCCTCCACAGCCCGGATCCCAACGGCACCCGCGGGAGCAGCAATCCCAGCAGCAATCCCAGCAGCAATCCCAGCAGCAATCCTGGCTTTCCCTGCTCGCTCTCGCTCCCATCAGGATGAGCCTGCCTCAGAAACAGAGGCTCTCTCCAGCAGCACCTTGTGCCCACAAAAGGCCTCCACAATTTTTGTCTTGCTGCCCCTCCATGGAGCAGCACCACAGCTGCCCATCCCATGGGTTGAGGACCCGGAGATGCCTCTCACTGGACCGTCTTTCCCAAAAGCACAGGGCTGAAGTCCCAGTTACATCGAAAGAGACACCCAGATGAATCCCACCCTCCACCATGCGCATTATGTTCCTCCAAATCTTCACCAAAACCAATGACAGGTTTTTAGAGCAAGGCAAACACCTCACAAATCTGTCTGGGAGTACCAGCATGGGAAGACCTTTAGGAGGACACAAATCAAACAGCCCCTGGACCAGCTTGAGGACCTCTTCCCCCAAAAACACAGGGCTGAAATTACATCCAGCAAGACACCCAGATGAATCCCACTCTCTACCACAGGTGTGACGTTCCTCTAAATCCTCACCAAAACCAATGACAGGTTTTTAGAGCAAGGCAAACACCTCACAAACCTGTCTGGGAGTACCTGGCATGGGAAGACCCTTAGGAGGACACAAATCAAACAGCCCCTGGGCTGTCTGCTGGAGTAGATGGGACAAGCTGTGAAAATCAGGAATATTCCAGGATTTAGGACTGGTAAGGTTTCCCCATTAGAAGTCCTATCCCTTAAGGATGCAGGGAACTGGAAATGCCAAAACCCAGCACAGCTGTGAAGCTGTTACAGGGCCTGTAGGAAAATCCTATGAGGAAGGTTGTCAATAGGATGAGGCACTCTGTGCCATATTTACATGGGATAAATTTAAGCACAGGAGGCTGGACCTGCTCAGCTTTCTCAAGCCACTGGGGAGGGTGATTTCTCTGCAGAGTAGTTCAGAGCAGAAGCATAATGGCAACATCTTGAATTATCCTGTGAAAATGTTAAATCTTTAGATCTTTTTTAATAACCACTATTCCTCACTGCAATTTCTGGCAGAGTAACCTAAGATCTCCAGGTGAAAATTGTTATGATTTATTAGTAATTTGTTGTGATTGATTAGGCTTATTAAAATGTCCCTAAAAATAAGTATCACCTGTAACAAACTCCACTGAGAGCCTGCTCAGGATATCCTGATTTCTGGTATGGGTTTGATGTGGAGCCATGTGACCCCACAGGTTTGTGCCCTTTGTATTAACCTCAAAGTCTGGGAATTTTGAAGGAATTTGAGAGATCCAAGTCTGGTTTATTTTACTAGGCTTTGAGAAGACAAGGCTTGCTTGAAAACACCTGTGCATGGAGAGAACAGTGCATTTCTTGTGAAGTACTCTTCCAGGAAAACCAGCAAGACAGGCTGGAGAATGATGATCAAAGGGCTCTGGATGTGCATAGGAAGAGATCAAGAATGGCCACATGCAGCATGTCAGGGTGAAGCTAAGAGTAAAAACCAATTTCAGCTGCTCTGGCAGCCAATATTCTCTTCTAGAAACCCCCAACAACCTGAGGAACTCTGTTTTTACCCTTATTCTGAGGGAAAATGAACAGAGCAGGAAGAGACACATTTACAAGACACATTTGGGGTGTTTTGCCTTTCCCAATAACAGCTCCCCTACATCAGCAGTGCCTTCCTGGTGGTCCTGAGATGGAGAAATACAGAACTGAGATGGAGAATTACAGAACTGGGGACATGCAAGGGGCTGGGGCTGCTCAGTCTATCAACAGCACACCCAGAACTGCATGCAGCCCCTCAGCACTAGTTGGTTATTCAACAAATCTTAGTCAAATTAGGGGGGGAAAGATGGAAATACAGAGAATAAGAAATGGGGATTTTTGGGAGGCTGATGGAGGGGAGAGTGTCTGATGCATCAGCAAGAGAATGAGACCAGGAATGCACAGGTTTTGTGGACCTGGGAGGGAGCTGAGATGGTTTGTGTCAGGAGAGGGAGGTGTGAACATGATTAAAATGCTGGAGCTTCACAACGGACATGGGAGGAGTTGCTGAGCAGGGATATTTTTGTAGCCTCCAATCTGGGCTGCTGTGGGCTCAGCAAACCGGTGGTGGATTGAGCTGTGGTCATGAAAGGAGTCCCTCCTGCAGGACAGGCCACTTGCTTTGGTGCCTTCTGCTCCTGAGACCTCACCAGTCCCTCATTCCAGGCACTCCCTTGACATTCCAGAGTTTGGTCTGTGGCTGCCTGGGCTGCTGGAAGCCAGCAGACTGATAAGGCCCCACAATTAAACCCTGTGGGATTCTCCTCCTCAAGGATGGATCCCTGCACGCAGGAGTTGGTTCTCATTCCTCTGCAAACACATCCTCGTTGCTGAGAATTGTCATTTGAGAGCAGGCAAAGCACACAGAGCCTTCAGGTCAGGGCTGGGTGGAGAGAACAAGCTTCTCCTTTCTGTTTGGGATCAGGGCTCGTGAGAAAGGGTCTGTGGTGTTGTCATGGGTCTGGCAAGCCAAAGAACTCTACCCTTGTGCTTCAGCTCAGGGTTTTTTCCAGCCACACTGCAAAGCCCTGTAAATCAGCTGCTCATCATCATGTGTTGGAGTTGAAGGGCTTCCTCAGCATCAAAGTTTCCCCTCTGGCTGTTTGTCTGAACCTCTTCAGGAATTATCCCTCTGCTCTGATCCCATCCCAGTGAGCCCCTACAAACACAGCCCCACTGCCATTCCTCGTGTGCTCTCTCCTCCCCACACTGGCCATTTGCTCATGAAATTTAGAGCAGATGAAGATGTGAGTGAAAAGCCAAGGTGGTGAGAAAAACTTTCCCTGAAAATGAGGAGAAACGGTTTTGGTTTTATTCCTTAGCTGGTGCATGTGGGTGAAGCAAATTGCCTCCTCTGAGTATTTGGATGCATTCAGTTCTTCTCAGGTTTGTCAGGGGTGCCTTCCCTCACTGGGCCTGAGCACTCTCTTGGGATTTTTTAGGAGTCCTCCATTTCTGTCTCAGGGAAATTATGTGCATAAGGCAGCAGCAGTCACACAAAACCATTTGGGACAGAAAAACCCAGACTCAACAGCTGCATTGCTAAGCTTCTGCATGCAGTCTTAGTGAGTCACTTTGCCTGTTTCCTCCTTTGGGAGACAGATATTCCCTACCTGGGATGCTGAGAAGGTTATTAGTTAATGTACTAATTAACCAAATGTGCTTTGAACAATAGAATTGCTCGAGGCAGTGGATCTCATGAAGGTCTAAGTCTAACACTGGCTTTAACAAGATTGGTCTCCCAGTTCTTATCAGCTGGGACACCTTGCCCCTGGCCAGGGAGAGAAGAATTGAACTCCTATACATTATTCATGCTGTTGGCACTCCTGAAGCACAAAGGCTGAGTCCATCCAAGCTCCCATCAGGGATGAAGATGGAGCTGCCACATCACACACCGAGCTCTGGGGCTCCAGAAAAAACCCCAAGCCAGGGTTTTGACAACATTGCTGACCTCTTTAGTACGTGCCCAGCAGTCTGTGAGCCACATCCCACCCTGCTCTGGAGCTCTGCTCACACCCAGGGCAGCTTCTCCTCTCTCTTCCAGAAGCTGGGTGGTGGCACAGAACTCTCTGAAGTGAGAGATGCCTTCTCTGTCCATCTCACTGGGACCCATCCCAGGCTGGATTTGGAGCTGCAGCTGCCACAAATCCTGCAAGCCAAACCAATTGAGGCTTTGGCCAGTCCTGAGCTCATCCCAAAGCCATTTTGTGCAGCTTCAGGCACCTCATGTGTCTGTTGAGGCAACTGAACAGGGAAGTCAAAGCCCATAGTGGAGATTTTAACCCACTGAAAGGTTCCAATAGAGATGTAACAACTGGAGCTGATGAAGGCTGTTTGCCTTGAACTCATGTTTGGGATGAATACAACAATGCTGCTCAAGCCTGCACTGCCTCAGGGTGCCAAAGTTACCCCTTAAAAGTGACACTGTCCCCAGGCCTGGGGGCACTGGAGGAAGAGAATTGTGACAATTCAGATTACTGAGTTTGATTCCCAAATGTGAAACTAAATTCTCCTTCCACACCAACCCTGCAGGTTTAGCTGGTTCCTCCCCAGCTGGAACAGAAAACACCAGGCAATGTCACAGCTATTCTTTCTGTGTCACATTCACACAATGCAAAGACCAAATGGAAAGAAGCTGAAAATCATAATTAGGCAAGCAAGTCTGAAAAATTCATCCCTCTTTAGTCTAGTCTGAGGCAGGTATTGTCTGAGACTCTGAAGAGCTGAGTTTTCAGAGCTGCATTTTCAGAACTGAACTGCTTCTGAAAGCAGGGCCCCTAAAATAAGCAAGATTAG